GGGGGGGTGGGGGGGTGGGCAGCACAACACACATCACACAACACACATCACACAACACACAATACAGCAGCATCATTTGGTGTCACAGGTCCATGTGCTTGGTGTGTGTGCAGGTCAGGTAAAGTTTGAGGACATCCGCATATCGCTGTCCGAGTGGCCGCAGATGAAGGGCTCCATGCCCCAGGGCATGGTACCGGTAAGCACAACAGGCCTGACCGGGCCATATACCCTCCCTGCACACACACGGTCCAGTCGGTCGGCTGTGTGTGTGTGTGCATGTGCGTGGTTCATTCATTCAGGTGTTGGAGATCGGCGACAAGCGCCTCACGCAGAAGACCGCCATCATGCAATACGCCGGTACTGCCTGACAGAGATTAAGATGCCATTGTCTGTCGTACCCGTGCAGTGCACATCCGCTTGTCTGTTTGTTCAGCCAAGGCGGCCAATCTGTGGCCGCAGGACGTGTGGCTCGAGTGCAAGATGGCCGAGCTGCACGGATGCGTTGAGGATGTCGTCTCCGAGGTCCGCAAAATCAGATTCACTCAAGACCAGGAACGAAAGAACCAGGTCAGCACACACCACACCACTCCACACAGAAAGAAAGAGGAAGGGCCCGGCCGCCGCATACATATCGCCGCATAAGTAGTGACTACGTTGCCTGCCTGTGTCTGTCTGTCAGTTATGTGACGCGTTTAAGGCGACATTCTTGCCCGAGTGGCTGCAGCGGCTCGACAGTCTGGTGGCCGCCAACGGACACGAGGGCTTCGCAGTAGGAGGAGACCTCACCGTCGCTGACCTGGTCAGTCCAGTCAGAGCAAAGAGAGATGGGCCCGGCCCACGCAACGCACACAGAGACCATTGTTTCTTACCTTTCCTGTGAACGTCTTGCCATCCATTTTGCCGCGTGTGATATGATGTTGGTTGTGTTTTGTTTTGTTGATAGGATTTGTACAACTTGTTGAATTTGCTGGACAACGGCGAGTCGACGGGCTGGCTGCCGGTGGACGTGAGGCCACACGAGGGGCAGTCCTGCTGGCAACAACACACACACCTCGCAGCGGTCAGACAACACAGCACATCACACCACCTCACCCCGCACCGCCCCGCACGCACCTACACGACAGGACACACTGTCGGTTTTTCTGTCTTCTCTGTCATTGATTGATATCTCCCTCCCTCCCTCCCTCCCTCGTGTGCAGGTGTACAACAGGGTGGACAGCATCCCGCAGGTCAAGGAGTGGAACGACAACCACCCCGTCAACAGACTGCAGTGACACACACGCACCCACACACACATTACACGCCCCTTTTGCCTTTGCCCCCATACCGACCGACCGTAGATGGGGTTGCCTGGCCGTATTGGCGGCAGCTCAGCTCGGATCCTATCCTCCATTCGTAGTGCATACTTGCATGCGTGAGGCTGGGGGTGTGCCGTGTCCTGGTCTGGTGTGGTGTCGTACTGGGGAGGGATGGGATGCCTCTTTGTCTGTATGGGCCGCTTCAATTGGGGCGCTTTTGGTTCTTTCTGACAATGAGAAGCGAGACAATGGCAGACAGTGAGTGACGTTCAGTGCTCGTGGTGCGTTGGCGCGTCTCCGTCGATTTGGATGGGCATCCGTCATCGGCTGCGTGTGGCTGTGCCGACAGCCATACAGGGACGGTGACGTGAGGCTGCCGCAAAGCGACGCAGACGCACGAACGACGATCCGAGTGTGCGGTTGCATATTCTACATGTCGTTGTGCATTACGCAAGTGGCGGTTCCTCCCGTGCGCCTGACGCTTCATCCATCCATCCATCCCTGACGCCCGTGTCGACGTTGCTGTAGCTATTGTCGATACAGCCGTGGGGGTGTGTGGAGTCAGAAGAGCGGAAGACGCTGGCAGGAACAGCCAGCCACGCAGTGACTAACACGCTGGTGTGTGGCCGCGCCAGAGTGTGTGTGGTGCGATGGACAAGTGGATGCTGCCTTCATGGCTGGATGGATGGATGCATGTTTAGTCAGTAAGGACAAGAGGGAGGGATGGAGGGAGGCCTGTGTGCGTCTGTGTGTGTGTGTGTGTGTGCGTGTGTGTATCTATCTGAGATGTTTTTCTGTGTGTGTATGTCGCCGGCGGGCCGTCAATGGCATGCGTCATGGATGGACACAATTAGCTACGAGTCGACTCATCATGAAGGGATGCACGCAGCATGTAATGTCTGACGGCGAGTCAGTCTCACCACGCAGCCATGAAGCGCCACCACGGACAATAAAGTTGTCTCCCGCGCACACGAGCAGCCCTTAATTCCACGGCCGATTCTACAGTCCACACATCCTCTCCCCCTCTCTCTAGTCGAATATCGGCCAGTACTGGCTAAACTCCCTCTCGGTATACGAACCAGGGTCGTTATAACGCCTGTGCCAACACACCACACCCCAACACACACAGTGTTTCTAGGCATCCACCCGTCCGCCCACTCAGGGCGTACCTGTTTCGGTTGAGAGCGGAGATCTGTTTGATGTCGTCCTCGGAGAGTGAGAAGTCGAAGAGGGCCAAGTTCTCCTTGAGGCGGTTGACGGAGGCCGTCTTGGGCACGATGGAACAGTTGGCCCGCTGCAGGCCCCAACGCAACACAATCTGACGCACATGGACACACACAGATGGAAGCGAATGCACTGACAGCTTGTCGTCGTGCATTTGGTGCGGTTTGTGTGGTGTGGTGTACCTGTGCGGGTGACTTGTTGTACTTCTGTGCGAGTTGTTTGATGAGGGGCTCCTCCATGACCGACTCGTTGGCGCCAGCCATGCCGATGGTCACATAACTCGGAGAACCTGCAGGCAGGACAACCAATATACACTCAGACGGTAGAGTGGCTGCTGCTGCCATGTGCTGACCGAGTGGCGAATAACCGGTCACGTGAATGCCGACCATGTCGCAGAACTTGAGCAGCCGCTCCTGTGTCAAATACGGATGCAGCTCAACCTGACCACCAACAACAACCCATCACAGCACCACAACACACACACACATCCCTAGTGCCTCCACAGGCGGCCGTCAATCTCCCTCCATCTGACCTGGTTGACGGCCGGCGGGTCCTTGGTCTCCTTCATGAGTTCCATGAGAGCGATGCAGTTGCAGTTGGACACGCCGATGTTCTTGACCAGCCCCTTGGCCTTGAGCTCCTCCATCGCAGCCCACGTCTCACGCAAGGGCACGTCAGCCAGCTCCATCTTGGGCTTGGCCGCATCGGGGTCGTGCGTCCACTCGGGCGGATACCTGCGTCGACCGTGTCGTGAATGATCCCAGTGCGTGTGGTGCCGTTGGTGTGTGGCTGGCGTACCTACCTCTTTTCGATGGGTACGAATTTGAGTGAGATGGGGAAGTGGACGAGGTAGAGGTCGAGGTAGGTGAGGCCCAGGTCCTTGAGGGACTTCTCGCACGCCAGCTGCACATGCTCCTTGGCATGAAACGTGTTCCAACTGAAGGAACCAAGAAAGATGGACATACAGACGGACAGATGGGCTGGGCTCAATCGTGCTGCCTGTCGGCCTCTCTGCCTGCCTGCCTGTCTGCCTGTCTGCCTGTCTGCCTGTCTGCCTGTCTGCCTGTCTGCCTGTCTGCCTGTCTGCCTGCCTGCCTGTCTGTCTGCCTGTCTGCCTGTCTGCCTGTCTGTCTGCCTGTCTGCCTGCCTGTCTGCCTGTCTGCCTGTCTGTCTGTCTACAGTTTGGTGGTGATCCAGAGGTCCTCCCTCTTGCAGATGCCCTCATCCAGCGCTTTCTTGATGCCCAATCCAACCTCCTGCTCGTTCCCTGCACACAAACCAAACAATCCAAGCACACATATGTATCCTCTGCCTGTCCATGCATCTCTCTCTGCATAGTGAGTGCATGCCATAGTCCGCAGCGCAGTCGAGGTGCCTCCATCCGGTCTTGATGGCCTCGTAGACCACACTGCTTGTCACGTCCTTTGGCGCCTTCCACATGCCCAGCCCCAGCTTGGGCATCTTGGCGCCGCCACGAAGCGTAACAGTGTCGCCCATCGCCGCCAGTGAGAGATGATGATGCAAAAGAAGCAGAAAGATCAGACAGGTGAAGAGAGCCAGAGTGCACACAGATCAGGCTAAGATCGGGCACCTTCCGCCTTTTGCTTTCAAGTTATCTAAGCTCGCACCGTGAAGCAAGCTCGCCGGGAAAAAGAACGAAAGGAAAGTGAGAGGGGAGTGAGAGGAGGGGTGACCAACTGATCCACTGATCCACTGTCCGAAGGAGCATGGCTGACGGCCGTGCGAAAAGGCCGAAGTTCCACACCCCCACTTCTGTCGCTCTCTGTGTGAGACAATCTGATTCTGTTCTACATCCCACGTCAACGATGAGTGCGTCAAGCACGTGTCGGCATGGCCTTTCCACCCCCTGCCTCCAAGACAGACCACCACGGCCAGAGCCCCAACGGTTCCAAGAGCTCTTGCAGGCGCTGCAACGACAGCTGCATCTACTGCCGGAAGACGACAATCCCGACTCTATCCAGGGCCAGCTGGCCATCATCCAACGCTTCCACGCCTCGACGGTCTCGCGGCTGTCCAAGCAGAACGACCGACTGCAGAAGCAGCTGCGGGACACCATCCGGAACAGCAAGGAGCACAGGCGCACAGCGGTCTTCAAGGCACTGGAGGACCAGCTGGCCAAGCAGGATGCCATCATCCACCGCCTCGTCCAGCATATAGGTGTCGAGAAGGCGCCGAAACTGCTGGGCGGCCTGGAGGCGGACTCTACGGCGCCACAATCACCGAGTCTGTATCCCAAGGTCGACTTCAAGGCACGAGAGGCACGCTTTCGGCGGGCGATTCAGCGATTGGAGGCCAAGGTCACCAGCTCACAGGCGGAAATGAAACAATGGGAGGCGACTCTCAGAGACATGACGGCCGAACTGATCCACCAGAAGCATGAGGCCGACACGCTGCGGAAAGCCCTGGCCCAGAATGAGGTGGAGATGCATGCTATGAGGGCCCAGCTGCAAGAGGGGGGCCAGGGCGTATCAACCAGCCAAGACGAAAGGGACGACGAGCGAGTGCAATGGGAGGCGGAGAGAGAAGACCTGGTGCAGCAGGTGGTGCGATTGGAGTCGGCAGCCAACACCAGCGAGCAGCAGCTCGACTTTCTTCGGCAGGAGCACAGATCTCTGCAGAGGGAGCTGGAAGAGACGCAGAAGACTCTCGAGGAGCGGGAGGAGAGGCTGCAGCAGGTGCTCGAGGAATACGACAGCTATCGCAAGACGGCGGAGGCCAGCCAGCAGCAGGACAGCGTGGCCGCCCAGGAAAAGATCATGGACCTGCAGGGCACCAAGCGCGAAGAGATGGCGGCCATACGCAAGAGAGCCAGAGACCTGGAAGATCAGCTCACAAAGGCGAGAAAAGAGACCGAAGAGGCTAAAAAGGCATCAGCCATTACCGACGATTTGAAGCGCATTCTCATGGAAGAGCGAGATACCAAGATCCGGCTGAAGAGGGATCTCACATCAGCCCAGCACGAGGTGGAGAGACTCACAGCGGCAATGAGAAGCCAGGGCTATGAATGGTCGCAAAAGCTCGACGCAGAGAGGTCCAAGCATCGATCGGTGCAGCAGGAAGCTGTCTCGCGAAAGCCGGCTTCTGCATTGCGAGCTGCTGCTGAGCAGGAGGAGGAGGTGCCTGGAAGTATGAGGGACCTCGAGAATGTCATATCTGCTCTGGAGACAGAGAACGCTGAGCTGAAGCGCGCGTTCATCGCTGCCAAGACGCTCTTAGCTGAGTCAGGGGGCGGACGTGTGGATAGACGCGGGTGAAATCGTGTGTGCGTGTGTGTCTCTGTGTGTTTGTGAGGTCTTTGCTGCCAATACGAACGATTTGACAGTTAGCCTGTCACATGTCTCTGCCAACCATGCCAATCCCGTTAATTGCCACGCACAAGTCGGTTTTGACCATCTGACATGCACTCTCTGAATCCCTGACGCACCGATATAAAATGTATGCAGCGATCGAACCAACAATCTTGATGTCTGCATATGTATGTGCAGCATTTTCCGACGAATATAAAATGCAGGCAGCAATCTACCCCTCTTCCCGCCTGGGCCATCGCGATGGGTCTCTGCATGCAGCCACGAGCAGGACAAGGCGAAAATTCAGCCAACACTCAGCGCCTCCAGCCGCCCCTGTCTCCCTACCTTCCGCGAGGGTCTCGGACACGTGGGCCCTAGTGAGGTCAAACCCGCCTGCACACACACACACAGACACACACAGACACACACACAAAGAGAGAGGGAGAGGCGGCCATCCAGGCAGACAGAGAGTTGTCTCCAAGTCACTCGGTCACTCACCGAATTCCCGCCTGTCGTCGTGGGTCATGGACTCCCGCTGCGTCCACCTAGTGGTCTCCCTCGACGTCAGGGGCACCTGCTTAGACCGCGTCCCATCCCTGGTGGCATGCACATACAACCACGTCACATACAGACACACGGACAAGCCAAAGAGGCGACACATGGCCTGGGGAGTGTGCTTGAGTGTGTGGCATGGTCACCCTGATCCCTTTGGTCGCCCAGTCGTCAAAACGTAATCGAAAGCAAATGGCTATGAAGACGAAGAAGTTCGAGGCTCCTGCCGGGTTTGGTTCTTCAGCTCCCTGATAGAGTTGCTGAAGAGCATCGAGCCAGGACTGGTGTCGACTCGGAGGTGATGGTGGCGGCCATCTGCTGATGTGAGGTGGGGGAGGCGTGGGACGCCTGTGCCTGTTGTGGTAGGCTGGCGCTGCGGCGTCTCGCCGGCTTGTGAAGGCAGGGTGGACGACGCCACGGTCAGCGGCATGGGAGGACTGAGGCGCTTCTGCAGGGATGGATGGATGCCAAGCAGACAGACAGACAGACAGATAGACACGGATGGATGAGAGCAAGCCCTTGCGCATTATCTATCTGTTCTTGGTGTGTCTGTGTATGTGTGTCGTACAGTGCTTGGTTCCCAGTGTGGCTGTAGATGGTGGTCTCAGTGCTCTCTAAGTCCTCCTCCTCTCCCCCCGGCTCCCCTGTGCTGGTGATGGAATCCTCTCCCCGCTGCACCGACGAACCCCTCTCCGTGTTGGTGTCCGTGCCACATGCCTCCTTCCCCATCCCTGTGGCCGCGAGCATAGCCCCATCCACCGCCCCTCCCACCTGGTCCACGCGCCAAAGGCCCGAACCGATCCTCACCCCGACAGCCAAACCTCACCGGGCCGTCTGTCGCCCCGCCGTACCCACCAGGCCCCGGCCACTGGGGCGGCGCCTCATCCCGCCTGTGTCCTCGCGGGCCTTGGTCGATGATGGCGTCGGGTTGTCTCCTGTCGTTGGTGAGCCCAGCCGACACTGTGATGGGGTGGTCGGGATGCACCATGGCAGGCCGACGCCTGTCCCTCCCTTCCTCCAGCTCGTCGCGTCGTCCCTGCCCACCGCTGCGGAGCGACGGGTGCCACGACGGCCGGGGCTGGCCTGCAAACGGGAGGCTGGGCGACATGTGAGACGCCGGGGGGCCGTCGTCTCGTGGCGGCTGCTCCCCCGGCGGCGGAAGGATGACTGGAGGGGGAAAGGGCCCGTGGCCTCTCGCCTCGTCCACCGATGCCTTCTGCCGCTGCCGCCGCTGCTGCTGCTGCTGCTGCTGCTGGGGGTGGGGGCGCATCGCTGCCTGACCGGCGAGCTGCTGCCCTTGTGTGTGGGGAAGCTGCTGTTGCTGTTGCTGTTGGTGGTGGCCGGGGATGCGAGTAGAGGGCGAATGGGATGCCCGCCGTCGTGCGGATGGTAGGGTGGTGGTCAAGGCAAGCGTGTGTGCGTGAGATGCCCATTTGCTCACCGGGCGGCTGAAGCTGAATCACGGTGGAGTGTGACTGCACCCAGTCTGCAGGCGGCCTGAGGTGTGTCGGGGCGCCTCTGTAGGGATGGATGGCAAGCAGACAGACAGACAGGCAAGGATGAGAGCAAGCCCTTGTGCGTTATCTTCTGTTCTTGGTGTGTCTGTGTATGTATGTCTTACTTGCTTCCCAGTGTCGCGGGGCGTTGGGGGAGTTGGGGGATGCCTGTCGACACTGCTGCATGCTCTTGTCAAGCACCATCCCGTTGCCCTCCGCCCCCTCGGCCGTCGAGTGCAAGCAGACTTGAAGCGGCACGTCTGTGCCCTGTCGGTCGGCATTAATTACATCACACCACACCACACACAGAGAGACACATGGATGTATAGGTATACTTGTTTGTCGCGTGCGTGCGTCGGTCGGTGGCACAATGGATGGATGGATGGATGGATGCGGTGTGTGGCATGTGCATGTGCGTGTGAGCGTACGTACGTAATGACCTGGTCGGAAGATGAGCACGACTGTGGGTGAGCCGGGTGGCATGGCCGCCCCCTCAGGATAGGTATACACCGGGCAGTGACCATCGCTGACATTGTCCTGCACACACAAAACACACAACACAACACAACACAACACGACAGATGACACGAGAGAGAGAGGTGTATGTATGTATTCGTGTTACAGCTCTGTCTGTCTGTCTGTCTGTCTGTCGGCTGTGTCACTACATAACTCCCTCACTGACTGACCAGCTGTACGATATGTATGTTGACGTTGAGTGCCATGGAGGCCTTCCGCCTCACGACCTGAGAACACACACACACACGCACGCGCACACGCACACGCACGCCCTGCCCTTGCTGCTGCTGTCGCTGCTGGTTGCGCCGCTCGCGGCGCGTCCTGCACTGGCCCTTGGCGACGCCCAGGTCGGTGTGCTCCAGCATGTACGTGCCAACTATCAGACGGAACATCTTGACTGAACAAACGAACCAACCGACGAGATGAGACGAGACGAGACGAGACGAGAGGGGAGGGGAGGGAAAGGATCGGAGAGGACACGACGGTATCGATTGTGCCGGGCTGTGTGGTGTGCTGTGTGCTTGTCTGTGTGGTCACAAAAGAACGAACGTACCCGCGCCGAGGTCAAGGTCCTTGTCCGTCCTCAGTGTCTCGCAGAGGTCATCACCCTTGAGCGACTGCAGCCGGCCGTATTGCACCGCCAGATCGCCGTCGTCAGACAGCACATCGGCCGGCATCGCCAACTGGTACCCCCCCGTCTCGCGCAGCTCCATCAAAGCGAAAGCAAGCCCACGATAAACGCAGTTGCCTGCACACACACACACACACACACACGACACAATTCGACGCGCGCTCCGCTCCACTCGCTGCCCTGCCCATCCCATGTATATACTATGCATGCCTTTCGTTCGTTGAGTGCACTGCACGCACTCCAATCAATTCCTTCCGTGCCTGTCTGCCTGCCTTGCCTGCTCTGCCTGCCTGCCTGCATTGGCTGCCGGGCTCAGCAACTAAGTAAGTAGCTAAGTAAGTAACTGACATACCATCGGGACGGATGTGTCGGAAGCTGTCGTAGGTCTCGCAGAGCTTGTCGACCTTCTGCTGGTGCTTCTCGCTGCCCTTGAAGTCACGCTTGAGAACATCAAGGCGCCCCTCCCACCATTGGCTATTGGGCAGCTCCTGTCCTCTCGCAGCTCCTTCTCAATCGCCTTTGAACAAGACACACAGGGCAGGCAGGAATAGGCAGAATACGTATGTATGTGTGCATGGTGCGTGGCTCCTCAGGGGCATCGGCGCTTCGACTCCGCCAGCAGCTCGGTGAGATCGGCTTTCTCGCCTGGACCCGCCTGCGATACATTTACGTACACGCCCGTGTGTTTGTGTGTCGTATGATCGGTTGGTCGGTCGGTCTGTTCTCAGCTCGTGATTGGTGTATGTGTCCTTGCTCACTGCGGCAGTGTGTGCAGCTCGATCGATTCATCTTGCAGCTGCTGAGGCTCCCGGTGCCATCGCTCCCTCTCCGCTCTGCATGCATCACAACCAGAGACACCACATGGTTACTGTGCCCTTAGTCTTTTGTGTGCATCTTCTCACATCGGAGGCCGCTCATCACAATGGGCTCACGACACGGTCTTGCTCGCCGCTGCTTGCTCGGTCACCCAGCCCCTCCGTCAGATACGTTTGAGCACGTGTCGACGAATATAAAATGTACGCAGTAATCTGCACACAAGGAAGACGCTCCATCAGTCTGTCTGTCTGTCTGTCTCACCGAGTGTGTCTCCATCTCTGCGAGCTGCTCCCTCATGACAGGCAACAAAGGGGTGCTCCTCTCCGGGCTGTCTCGTGTCTCCTTCGTCCGACGCACCTTGTCATCCTGGAGCTCTTCCACCTCCAGTATCATGCGATCGATGACACCCTGCAGCCGCCTGAGTTCATCCTGATCGATGCATGCCGAACAAGCAGCTAATGCGCGGTTAGCTAAGGGGTGATAAGCTTTCTGTCTGCCTACGCTGTGGGCGATGAACTCTGTCTCGAGAGACTTGTCCTTCTGCTGGAGCTCAGCCACCGCCTCGTCGAGTTCTTCCCGCATCCAGCTCAGCGCATCACGCTCGATCACAGTGATGTCGCTGCCGGTCTCGCTGAATCGACAGAACAGAAGAGCACAGCACCTTTGTTGTCGATCGTCGATCAATGGATGGATGGATGATCTGCCTGAGTGAGTATGTGTACCTGTGGGGGTCGTCGTCGAGGTCTTCTTCTTCTTCGTCCTCCCAGTAAGTAGGACGAAGACACCCCCACTGGCGGCCAGGCTTGTCCCAGGCCATGAGGGCTGCCTTCGCCGACTCAGCCTGACACACACGCGCGCGTATAGTGGATGGACATAACACAGATAGTATGACTGAGTAAGTGCTCCTCTGCCTGCACGCACCGCACACACCGTGTGTGCGACCGACCTCGTGCCGTTCTCGCTCGGCGGTCTTGAGCTGCTCTTGCAGCTGCTGCAGCTGCTGCTTGGCGGCGTCTGACACACAAAAATAAAGCCACACACACCACCAACACACACGCCTGTGATGCGATGCGATGCGTGGCTACTAGTGAGGACTTCTTTACTTACCTAGCTGCCGCTGGGAGTCCAGGAGGAGGTCAGGGCAGTTCAAGACCCTCAGAAACCTGCACCGCATCGCATCGCATCGCATCGCATCCATCATTCAGTCAGTCAGTCAGTCAACCCCAAGCCACACACGCATGTGCATATTAATGCTCCTAGCACAGACTGCAGTGGTCTGTGTGTGCGTCGTCGCTCACTCCAGCTCAACCTGGCTGTCCGCCAGCTCACGGCGCAACCGGTCAGCTTCCGTCTCCTCCTCGACTCTGCATTCACCATGACGAGATACAACACACATGTGTCCACATGGATAGTATTCTCACTCGTGTGTACACTGTGTGTGTGGGTGTGCCATCCTCTGACGTACGTCGAGCGATCGTGGCCGCCAGGATGGCCTCGATGGCGCCGGCCTTGCCCGCTGCGACGCTGTTGCCGAAGTCGTGCCTGCAGACGGCCTAGACGGCGGCGCATCCCCACAGCTGGACGTCGGGGTGCATCTGCAGCTTCTGCAGGTTGGTCGCCACCGTCTTCGGGGTGCTCCTCGTCCGGCTCGGCTGCACTGTCTTGGTCACACACACTGAACAGACACGCAAGTCAAGTCACCAAAAAGTGTACACACACAGCAGGCGACAAAGCATTGGTTGGTACGGGAATCAGGAATATTCCTGACTTGTTTCCATGTAGGCACCGACGGACATACCTGGCTGGTGGCGCCAAGGTACGAGACAGCAGCGTCTCGTGGATGGCCTCGTCCAAGGGAGGAGACAGCAGCTTCTCTTCCAGTGCCTCGTCCACATCCGCAGCCCTGTCCATCAAAATCCTCCTCGCCATCACCTCCTCCCACGCCGGTTGGCTTGGCAGGTGGAGAGGCCTTGCTCGGTCACCCAGTCCATCCCTCGAATACAATTGCGTACGTGTCGACGAATATAAAATGTAAGCAGCAATCTGCAGACAAGGAAGACGCGCTGCAAGGGGCATGCTCGCCTTGCAAAACATGTCTCATACACATACTTACACGAGCATCTCACACCGGGCCCTCCTCTCGCCTAACTCGGCGGCAGACAGGGGCCCTGGTGCTGGCGACGGCCATGGCTGATGCACGTGCTCCACCGGGACCTGGAAGTCGAAGATGAGATCCGCACACAGATGGGTGTATACCGATACGTACTACGGACTGATATGATAGCATCATACGTATCTGTGTGCGTTAGTTACGTTACCGCTTCCTCGATGCCCTGTTGCTCCTTGCATGCCGCCAGCTCGATCCTGCACACACACGACAAGACAAGCCGGCACAACAAGTATGTATCCAGCTCAGCTGAACTACACCCAACTACACCCAACTCACTCGTTCAGTCCATAAGTACATAAGTAAGTACACCAAACACTTGACTTACTCGAGGAGGGTGCAACGGGCCCTCGTCTTGCCGAGCTCGGCCGCCAAGGATGACGACTCGATCCACACGTTGTTGGCGTACACGTCTTCCATCTATGTACGATAGATAAACACAGCAGGCAGGCAGGCAGGCAGCATCACATCCGCAATTCAATTGGAGCTAGCTGAGGGAGATATCAATCAACCTATGGTCTGCTCTGCTCTTGCGCATACATACATACGTACAGTGTAGTTGTAGTTGGCCAGGCCAACAATGGCGCCCCTCAGGCGCCAGATCTCTCGCTCGGCGTCCCTGGCAAAGGTCGTGGAGTTGTCTTCCATGGCCGCCAGTCGCGACACGAACCAGTCTTCGAGGTCTGCATGGTGTGGGTGCGGCGAGGTGGGACGATGGCAGTGGGAGGGGCCGGTGAGCGGGGTGGCGAGAGCGACACGATACCTGAGAGAGACAACGGACAGACACGTGGACAAGGGAATGAATGGATGGATGGTTGTGTCGGTTTGTTGCAGCTACGCAGGCAGACAGGCAGAAGGGCAGCACAGATTGACATCTATTCTTACACCGGAGACAGACAGACAGACAGACAACGGACAACGGACAGACACGTGGACAAGGGAATGAATGGATGGATGGATGGATGGTTGTGTCGGTTTGTTGCAGCTACGCAGGCAGACAGGCAGAAGGGCAGCACTTACTGACTGATATATTGACATCTACATATTCTTACTTGGCGGCCATGTCGTCCAGCTCCTTCTCCAACTGTCCTACGCGGCGATCACTGGCCTCTGACACGACACGTACAGACAGGGCAAGAATGCACGAGCAGGTAGGTGCACACGTGATTGATTGATTGCACCTCTGTCCGACGCACCTTGTCATCCTGGAGCTCTTCGACCTCCAGGATGATGCGATCGAAGTCGCTCTTCAGCCCCATAAGAAAGTCCTGATCGATGCATGCCGAACAAGCAGCTGATGCGCGGTTAGATGGATAAGGGATGATAAGCTTTGCTTCCGTCTGCCTACGCTTTGGGCGTTGTATTCTCCCTGGAGAAACTCGACTTCCCTTGCTAAGGATGCCTGCAGAGGGAGGGAATAGTGTGTCATGTCAGAGTGTGTTTGTGGGAGGGGACCAATCGCCCTTCTTTGGTATGTACCTTTTCGTCTTCGAGTTGACAATACGCGGACTGCATACCTGAGAGGGACAATCAACACAGACATAGCACAGCACACGCATGACAGAATGATGATGGTGTCGGTGTCTGGTGCGCTTCCCTCCCTCCCGCCTTTCTGTCTGTCTGTCTGTGTGTCTGTCTGTCTGTCTGTGTGTCTGTCTGTCTGTCTGAGTCATTCATTGATATCATGAGGGCAGTGCAGTGCATGGGTGAATGGATGGAGTCATGTCATGGTGCTCATGGTGCTTACTGTTCTGTTGGGCGTCCTCCTCTATTTCCTGCAGCATGGTCTGCTTGACGGCCTGGTCCCGCTGCGCCATGCGGCTGGCCTCCTTCTCACGCACCGCAGCTTGCTGGATGGCGCCAGCAGCGGCCAGATGTGCCGCAGCTGTCCATCGACTCCTCGCCACCTCGCCCCGTGCGACCACGGTGACGTCGCTTGTGTCACTGAATCGACAGAACAGAACAGCACAGCCCACCACCACATCAGTATGTTTCTTGTCGATCGATCAATGATGGGATGATCTCGGGTGTGTGTATGTTTGTGTACCGGCCGTTGTCATCCTCGTCTTCTTCGTCGTCCTCCCAAGCGGGACGACGAAAAAGATTCCACCCAGTTCGGCCGCCGGGCTTGTGCCAGGCCCGGAGCGCCGTGTAGGAAGAGGTAGCCTGACGCACATGCGTATAGAGGACATAACATAGATAGTATGACTAAGGAAGTGCTCCTCTGTCTGCACGCACGTGTGTGCGACCGACCTCGTGGCATTCGTGGCGGGCGGTCTGAAGCTCCACTTGTAGCTGCTGCAGCTGCTGCTTGGCGGCGTCTGACACACAAAAATAAAGCCACACACACCACCAACACACATGCCTATGATGCGATGCGATGCGTGGCTACTAGTGAGGACTTCTTTACTTACCTAGCTGCCGCTGGGAGTCCAGGAGGAGGTCAGGGCAGTTCAAGACCCTCAGAAACCTGCACCGCATCGCATCGCATCGCATCGCATCCATCAGTCAGTCAGTCAGTCAACCCCAAGCCACACACGCATGTGCATATTAATGCTCCTAGCACAGACTGCAGTGGTGTGTGTGTGCGTCGTCGCTCACTCCAGCTCAATCTGGTTGTCCGCCAGCTCACGGCGCAGTCGGTCAGCTTCCGTCTCCTCCTCGACTCTGCATTCACCATGACGAGATACAACACACATGTGTCCACACAGATAGTATTCTCACTCGGGTGTGCACACAGTGTGTGTGTGTGCCATCCTCTGACGTACGTTGAGCGATTGTCTTCGTCCGCCTCAGCGGCATTGTCTTGCTCACTCGACCTGAAACACATGCACGTCATCAAAAAGGGTACACACAGCGGGCGACAAAGCATTGATTGCAGAATATATACACCTGTGGACGTACCAGTTCGGCGTCGCGGGGGCAGGAGATAGTAGCGTCTCTTGGAGGGCCTCGTCCACAGCAGCGTCCCACGCATGCTCATCGAACTCCTCCTCACCATCACCTCCTCCCACACCCACACCGGCAGGTGGAGAGGGCTGGGGTGAGGGGGCGCGGGAAGGGTGCTGGTCTGGGCTCTGGGAGGCGGAGCTCCAGCACGGCAAAAGCCAAGGCCCGATAAAAGGAGTTCCCTGCACACACAATACGACACACACAACCGCCGAAACAACACGTTCACGTCATTGCAATGAATGCCCCAACCCATCGCCCTTTTCGTGTTCGTGGCCTCACCATCGTCCAGGACGCGCCGGAAGGTGTCGTAGGTCTCGCTGCACCGCAATTACCCCACGCACCACGCCTGAGCCCTCGCTATTGTCGTGGTGGTGGTTGGTGGTGGGTGATCGTCGGGCGGCAGCCGTGTTGGTGATGCGTAGGGATCCTCTGCGGCTTTCTGTGAAAAGAAGGCACACGCGAACCTGCCGAAGCCAGACAGACGCCAGGTAGTCGGAAGGCGCCCGTCACAAAGTACACAAAACTTCTGTTTTCCGAACCTACCTCAAAACGATGCAGTCAGGTCCTCCTTCTCGCTACAGAAGGGCGACAGACAGAAGGCAGGGCGTAGTCAGGCCGATACGAAGGTGAAGAAGGAACTGGCGGGCGACTTTCGGACGAGTTGGGAGGGGTGGGGAGGGGTGAGGCGGACCGCACAAGCCAACGACCAGCCCAAAAGAAGAAGAAATGGAAGATCTGTGGCGGAGAGAAGGCCGGAGAGCCTAACGCGGCCGGAAAATGTGAGAACTGGAATAAATCAGGGTTGTGTGGTTTGTCCCGTCTCATCGCGAAAATCCCGTCTCACTATCGCGGAAAATCTCGCCACAAGCATTTTCTTTTCGTGGCAGTTGGCTTTCGTTCGTCCATCTTCTCCCCTGTGTGTAAAGCCTCAACATCGATGACATCCATCCCCTTGCGTCCATGCATCCATCCATCCACTCATCACACGCAGCCAGCCGTTCAACTTCGCCATTCAAGATCAATCCATCAGCAAGGCCAAGCGGTGGATACATGTGAGGCACAAGTATCCATACATATATAGCACATGAAGGTATATGTATACAAGCAGGCACAAATGCGTACATCCATCCATCCATAAGAAGGCCACGGCAGGCGACACAGGTGTCTGTGTATGTGTCCACTCTCTCCTGTGTGCCAGGAGGGAAAACGATCGATCCGTCGGTTGGTCGGCTGTGCGTCCATCTCTCTTTTCTTCTCTCTGTTGGAACCTCTCCTTCTCATCTATATCAATTGCCATAAGTAAGTCGCAGGCAGCAGGGAATGCCTGCACGGATGTGCCACAGTGCGTATACACAACCAACAAAGGGGCGTGTGTTTGTGTCCCGGTAGACGCGCGCACAGCAAAGGGGGAAAAGGCACGTATCGTGTCTGTGTCTTTGTGTCGTGCGCGCGCCGGTCACCAGGCCGTAGGAAGTCGGCCATTCGTGGCTAGCTGGCTAACCCGCCCCCTCACCATCTGACAAAGCAGCCAGGCCATAGCACACCGACCGACAATCGACAGCAGATGTTGCTCCTTCCTGATCATTACTTCACTCACTGGAAGAGGAAGCATCCGCCATTCCCTTTGTCGCACTGTATCTTGATGCTTCGGGCCTGTGTCCCCTTCGTGGCTCCACATTCGACCCCAGCTGCTTCAGGCAGCACGACAGGGCCTCCACCAACGCGTCGCTGGACCAGAGCGCATCGAACTCAGGCACCTTCGACCGGGCCTCGCCGTGCAGGTCCAGCTCGTAGCTGACACACGCAGAACTTGCAAATGAGGGCAGGGCGTGGCGAGCATAGACTGTGTGTGTTCCACTTCCACTCTTGTACATGTTTGGTTCGGATTCGGTTGGGTATCAGCATGCCGCTCTCCATTAGTCATTTATACGGACGGCCTCGATCCGCAGTGCAGTCGTCCTCTTCTGGGAGAAACAGCGCTGCCAACAGCACACGCACAGCAGGTGCAATGCACGCACTGAACGAACAGAATGAACAGATCTCTCTCCGTGTCCATACATACATCGATGATTACGAAGTCTTCAGCAACCTTGCAAACAAAACAGGAGAAGGCAGGCCAAGATCCTCGACAGGGCTGTGTCTGCCGTGTGGTGCTCTTGCGTACCAGGTGGGCTATCTTGTCCCCTGTGATGACGCTGCTGAAGCAGCTGAAATTTCGTGATTGGCTCATCACATCACATCTTCCGGCCAATTTGGTTTCAGCGCATTGCTCCACTCCTTTCCTCGTCCTCTCTTTCAAGCTCGCAAGCTCGCAGATGGGATGGATGGATTACGCACTTAAGAGTCTATCCCACGTATGTAGTGTGATCCCAGACGCGTCGGTTCAAGGAGATGAGTGCGTTTCAGGCACAGTGTAGCGACTGTGGAACCAACACTGAGGTGCGAGGACTGGTAGTACCACGCCTCACTGAACAACCGACCAGCCCACGCCTCACTGACCGAACGGTGTGTCATCTTGGTGCTTGTTGTGTGTGTTTGTTCCGCAGGACATGTTGACCCGGCGAGAAGAGCACGTAAGAAGCACGCCCAACAAATACATGGGAGGGCTTGTATTTGTTGGCCCTTTTGGTGTGAAGGAGTCGGTTGACGACTTGGAGTGCCCCGTGTGCTTGCACTCGGCTCAGCAGCCGCCACCCCAATCGCACGCCCCACCGCCGTACGGCCACTCGCCCTCTCCGCCGCCACAGGAGTGGCACAGACAGCTGCAGGAGCAGGCCACGGTCGGCCCCAGGAAGGGGGCAGACATGATGGAGGATGACGACACAGGTCGGTGGCATGGGGTGGGGTGGGGCGTGCTCACTCACTCATGCTCACTCTCACGCGCCTACCCGGCATGGCATCCATATTATGGTCGGCGGTCTGTTCTTCTGTGCATGCAATGCAATGCAGGTCACGAGCAGAGGGCCGTGCAGCAGCACGCCAGCAAGGCCGGCCCTCCACGCCCGCCTCCCCTCCCCTTCTCGACACCGAGGGGTGGCTTTCCCCCACCCAGAGGCCGGGGCTCTGGGCCGCCCGGCATGGGACCGGGACGGCCGGACGGGCCGCAAGGTCATCTGCTGCCCACTCCTGGGCCCGAGGTGATTCCCCGCAGTCTGCAGCAGGCCATGAAGCAGCAAGGGGGGTACCACCTTCCACACTATCCGGGAAGGCAGGGCGACAGTGGTGATAGGCCGGGCGACCGAGGGGCCATCCCCATCAATCCACCAGGCGCCGACCGGTCAGGACATGGCTCCCAGTCACCCCAGCAGGCGGGCTATCGGCCGCCCGTCTCCGGCAACCATCCCACCAAGGGTTTCCCGCAGAGCCAGCCCTTCCAGCAGCAACAGCACATGCAGGGGCTGCAGCACGGTGGCTCGCAGATGAGGGTGGGCCAGCAGCACCACCAGCCGCCCCCTGAGTCGCCCTACCCCCGCCGGCCCGAGCAGCATTGCAGCAGCCCGGCAGAGGGGGCCGTCCGTCAGTCTCAGCAGCCGCCCCCTCCATCGCACGCCCCACCGCCGTTCGGGCAGTCACCCCCTCCACCCCCCCAGGAGTGGTACACACGCGCTCATGTGTCCCAGGAGTCGCCCGCGTCGCCCTATGATTGGCCGCCCAGTCCGCCGCAGTTTTCTGGACCGATGTTTGAGAACGAGGAGGAGAACCTCATCAGGATGCAGCAGCGTCTGGGTTCGCTCCGTCGCCCCCCGACCAGCAGCCCTTCCTACACCAGTCGATGGCGCCACCCCCTCCCCCGGCCGCTCACGAGCTGCCCACCTTCACCAAGCCACGAGGCACCCAAGAGGCAGGCGACATGGCCGCGGCACGGCAGCCCCAGCACCCCCAATGGCAGCAGCATGGGGGAGGTCTTGTCCAGGTTGAGGGTTGGGCGAGTGCGAGCTCAAGTGGCCTGAATGCCGACGCTGCTCCGTATACTGGGGGGTGGGGGACGGGGCTGGGCGGCGGTGGTGTTGACGAGATGTCTGGTCAGTTGTACTTCCAGCAGATTGGCATGGGCGAATGGATGAATGGATCTATGCAGGGTGAGCGATGGACTCATAAATCAGACAGACAGACAGACAGATGGGAGGGTGGCAGGAAGAGAGGCGGACCACACACACACACACCGTTATTCTGTCATATGTGTGTTGTGTTGTGTTGTGCTATGTATGTGTTGTTTGTGCCTATCTATCAGGTATGCAGTACGCGTACAGTCAGAGTGGTGACGTGACCCAGGCGACCGTGTGCATGTCCCCCACGGCCAGTCCCATGGCCGCTGCTGCCGTCACCCAGCAGGACGGTGCGTTCGGACACGCCGGCTTCCCCGCATGCCTCCACCAGGCTGCGATGCAAGGCATCGCCAGCCAGTCCATGGCAGCCCAGCAGCACCAACAGCAACAGCATCTTCCCCAGACCCAAGGGCAGCAGCTCGCTGGTCAGGCAGCGATGCACCCCCAGCAGCACTTTGGCGCCGACGCCACACCCATCACTCAGCGGTCCCACAGTGGGGACTTTGGCGGAGTCAACACGAAGAAACGCGTCGCAAACGCGCCTCTGCTGCGCGGCCCGTCACCGGTCCAGAATCAGTCGCCGTCGGATCTGCCGCCAGAGGCCCACCACACCCCGGCTGGCCACTCCATGGTGGCCCTCCATCCGTCTGTGCAGCAACAGCAGCAACGTCCGCAACAGGAGATCGCTGTGTGGCCTGCTGTCGATGGCTTCGCTCCGTCGTCCCCCGACCAGGAGCCCTTCCCACACCAGCCGATAGCGCCACCCCCTCCCCCGGCCGCTCACGAGCTGCCCACCTTCACCAAGCCACGAGAGTCCCAGGAGGCAGGGGACATGGCCGCGGCACAGGACACGACCTCTCAGCACCACCACCAGCAGCAGCAGCAGCGGCAGAAGGCGCCGACGGACGAGGCGAGAGGTCACGGTGCCTTTCCCCCCCCGGTCATTCTGCCGACGCCCGGGGAGCAGCCGCCAACGGCGCCTCACGCCCATGAGTTGCTGCCTTACCACGCACCAGCCACTGAGGAGATGCCCCGACTGCGTGAGATCGGTGTTGGGACCATGGATCCGCTCCCTGCTGATGGGGGTCAGGCCGCGGCGGCCCGATCACTGTCCGGTTCCGACAGCCGTCAGTCATCGCCACCGGGGGCGCAGCACCAGCAGGTGGGTCGGGAGAGGGTCGAGAGGGAGCGGGACGACCAACGTGGGGGCCATCATCATCCTTCACGCCTGCACCACCCGCCGCATCCCCGTGGTGGCGGTGGTTGCCGAGGGCCCCCGAGGCACCACGGGAGGAGGGGGCCAGTACGATCGCTTCGATCACGGGGACGAGTTGTTCGGCTCCGCTCGTGGACCTCCTCATCGCGTGGGTCCGCGAGACGACGGACCCCCGACATCCCACATGTCGCCGACCCTCCCGTTTGCAGGGCAGCCTCGGCCGTCGTGGCACCCGTCGCTCCGCATCTTCAACAGCTCCATCAAGGACGTCAGGAAGCAAACTCGCCAGGAGGCGGCCGGAGCCGTCTCTCTCAGTGGGAGGGCTGGCGCTGCTGGGCGGGCCAGGGAGGGGGGAGAGGAGGGGCACCCTGGTCCAGCAGACGTGACGGATGAGACCGAGGTGGAGGGAGGGCCGTCGAGTGGACCGGCCGAGAGACAGGCTGGTGCGGAGGCCACCGCTCGCCCCAAGGCACCGGGACAGTTTGCAGCTCCACCGCCTGCCCAGCAGGAATCCGCTCAAGCAGGCGGCCGCGCTAGTGCCGTCCCTCCAGCACCAGTGCATCGGCCTGCCCCGCCGGAGCCTGTGTCGCCTCCCCGTCCCCCATCTGCTGTGCCGTCCACTGACGCCAAGGAGCCAGCAGCAGCAGCAGCAGCAGGTGCTGCGTCGTCGTCCTCTGCACCTCCCGCGCCCCCGCCGCCCCCACCACCCCCTCCCGGCCCGTCCGGCATGATGGGGAGTCAGCGCAGTCGCAAACCTTCCCTGCGCATCAGCAACGCGGCTGCCTCCCGACCTTCCCCCTCCACCAACACCAACACCACCAACACCACCACCACCACCACCCCAACAGCGAGGGCCCAGGTTGCAGAAGACACGGAAGACGTCGAGCGTGCGGCGTGCGAGGCTGCCATCGACGCCGCCCTCGCATTGTCTCCGCTGTGTCGCCCCGCAGCGTCCTCCGACACCCCCCTGGCTGCCCCTGCTGCTGCCCCTGCTGCTGCCAGGTACGTCGGTGTGTATGCGATGTTGAAATTGTGGCGCGCACCGACACGCACACGTCACTCACTGATCATATCGTTGCCTGGTGTGTGCATGCAGAAGTGAGAGCGACCAGGTTGAGGCGCCACTACGCGCCGAGCTTGAACAGCTGAAGGCCGAATACGAGTGAGCAGACACATCATGTGGAGAGGAGAGTGAAGCCGACCCATCGATATGTACGTACATGACTGTGTTTGTTGGATGGACTGATGAATGAATGCAGGCGCGTCCAGCAGTCGGCCGCACATTTTAGCGAGTTCTGGGCGGAGGCGCAACAGGAGCTGGGTGAGCAAAGGCGTCCCCCAGGAGCCTCCACGCATCACACACCGAAATTTGTGTTGGTGATGTGGCTTTGTGTGTTTCAGACGCCGCACGGCAGCGAGTGGCCCAGCTGCAAGAGCAGCTAAAAGACGCCCAGCAAGGGTGGCAGCAGGTCGGTCGCACACACGTGCGTGCAGACAGAGGAGCACTTCCTTAGTCATACTATCTATGTTATGTCCACTATACGCGTGTGTGTCAGGCTGAGAGGGCGAGGGATGCTCTCATGTTCTGGCACAAGCCCGGCCCTCGGTGGGGGTGGATGCCTCGTACTTATTGGGAGGACGAAGACGACGACGAGGATGACACCCGCAGGTAGACAGACTCACTCAGGCAGATCTTCCATCCATTGATCGATCGACAACAAAGGTGCTGTGCTCTCCTGTTCTGTTGTGTCGATTCAGCGACGTCACTGAGGTCGAGATCTCGGAGTTGCAGCAGGAGATCGACAGACTGCTCAGAGAGAGGGTCCAACGCCAGTCGACAAAAGCGTGTCGCTCTTACGTGTTGCCAAGTCCGTTCCGTCTGTCTGTGTGGCTTGCAGAATGCCTTGGTAAAGCAGTCCCAACAGCGGGAGGCCGAGCTGCAGGGCCAGATCGAGGGCCTGTTGGAAGAGCGGCAGGAGAGCGAGAAGTCCCGCATAGCGCTCGCGGAGGAGCTCGACGCCACCAGACAGTCTCAACAGACACTCAGGGAGGTGCTGCACACACTGAGGGAGGAGCTGCAGACCCTCAGACGGAAAAGCCGCGAAGAGGTATGTTCCTCCCCTCCCACCTTCACACGCCGAATGCTGACAGTGCGTGGCATGGCATGCACACGTGTGTCTGTATGTGTTTGTGCGTGTGTGGGATTCTCAGGAGGATTTGCGCACATTTGCCGCCTCGACCCTAGCAGCAGAGCAAGCCAAGGAGCTGGAGACCCTCAAACAACAAAACACCGCACTGCTGCAGGAACAGGTGGACCGACTGACACCAACGACAAGCCACTTGAAAGAAAGGAGGCTCTCTCTCTCTCTCTCTGTGCGTGTGTGTGTGTGTGTGGCTGTGTGTGTGGGTGTTTGTGCTTCCAGGCGTCGTGGTTGACCTTGTTCAGCACCAAGCTGAATGAGGCCGAGAAGCTGCGAGATGTGCTGAGCAGCATGCAGCAGGATAACGAGGCGGCGGCGGCGGCTGTGTCGACACAGCAGGAGCAGCGCATTCGATATCTGGATGAGGAGAGGGCATCCCTGGTCGCGGCCAACCAACAGCTGCAAGGCGATAAGGTAGGTGCCCTTCCGAACCAGCAGTCAGCCAATAAACAACGAACATACACCACATCATCCCTTTCTGGCTGGGCTGTGTCTGTCAGGAGGGACTGGTGCAGAAGGTGAAGGCTCTCCAATCTGACCTTGCTGCCGTCAGGACACCGCCCGACCTTTCTGCCGCCGACTGGGAGTCCACTGCCGATGTGCCTGCAGCCCGGCGGCCGGACACTGCTGTGATGGAGACGCAGACCGACGGTGTGGGTGATGGAGAGCGACGCACCGAGAGGGTAGGGGAAGAGCTCACACCCACTAAAGAGACACCCACCATATGGTGAGAATGCACGTCGTGCACTATGTGTGGGTCTCTTGGTCAGGTTGAGGATGGGGGCATTGCTGTCGAGGCTCTGCAGGCAGAGATAAAGCAACTCACGGAAGAAAAGGTACCGACAACACACAACCAACCTACGCGTACCTCACACACATACACACATACATATGTATGTCTGCAGTCATCGGTGCAGTCGGAGCTGATGGAGAGAATCCGACAGATAGACGAGCTCAAGACGCGGGAGACCGAGCTGTCGGCGGATCTGCAGCAGGAGCATGACGAGCGCCGGGCCGAAACCGACCGCTGGGTGCAACAATTCGCCGCCCTGCGGGAAGAGAAGGTGAATAGGGAGGGGATGCGACGGTCAACCCATGGATGTCAGATGCGAGGGATCGGGATGGTTGTCTGCTGCAGGCCGCGATGATCCAGTCTCTGTCTGAGAAGTCCCAACAGCAGGAGACCGAGCTGCGGGACCGGATCGAGCAGCGGGAGGTCGAGGCGTACCGCCGGGGCGAGGGCATGATGGAAGGGTGGCTGGCGAGCGAGAAAGCCCGGCAGGAGAGCGAGAAGTCCCGCATAGCGCTCGCGGAGGAGCTCGACGCCACCAAACAGTCTCAACAGACACTCAGGGAGGAGCTGCACACACTGAGGGAGGAGCTGCAGACCCTCAGACGGAATAGCCGCGAAGAGGTATGTTCCTTCCCTCCCACCTTCACACGCCGAATGCTGACAGTGCGTGGCATGGCATGCACACGTGTGTCTGTATGTGTTTGTGCGTGTGTGGGATTCTCAGGAGGATTTGCGCACATTTGCCGCCTCGACCCTAGCAGCAGAGCAAGCCAAGGAGCTGGATACCCTCAAACAACAAAACACCGCACTGCTGCAGGAACAGGTGGACCGACTGACACCAACGACAAGCCACTCGAAAGAAAGGAGGCTCTCTCTCTCTCTCTCTGTGTGTGTGTGTGTGTGGCTGTCAGACCTTGTTGAGCACCAAGCTGAATGAGGCCGAGAAGCTGCGAGAAGCGCTGAGCAGCATGCAGCAGGATAACGAGGCGGCGGCGGCTCAGCTCGAACAGAAGGCCATCGACTTGGAACGCGTCGTCAAGGACAAAGACGACATCATCCAGGAGAGGGAAGCCGAGATCCTCGCCCTCCGCGACACTGCTGCTGTGTCGACACAGCAGGAGCAGCGCATTCGGGATCTGGATGAGGAGAGGGCATCCCTGGTCGCGGCCAACCAAGAGCTGCAAGGCGATAAGGTAGGTGCCTCCCGAACCAGCAGTCAGCCAATAAACAACAAGCACACACTCCCTTTCTGGCTGAGCTGTGTCTGTCAGGAGGGACTGGTGCAGAAGGTGAAGGCTCTCCAATCTGACCTTGCTGCCGTCAGCACACAGCCCAACGTCCCTGCCGCCAACTGGGAGTCCACTGCCGATGTGCCTGCAGCCCGGCGGCCGGACACTGCTGTGATGGAGACGCAGACCGACGGTGTGGGTGATGGAGAGCGACACACCGAGAGGGTAGGGGAAGAGCTCACACCCACTAAAGACACCCACCATATGGTGAGAATGTGTATGTGTGGGTCTCTTGGACAGATTGATGATGGGGGCATTGTTGTCGAGGCTCTGCAGGAAGAGACAAAGCAACTCACGGAAGAAAAGGTACCGACAACACACAACCAACCTACGCCTACCTGACACATACACACATACACACATACATATGTATGTCTGCAGTCATCGCTGCAATTGGAGCTGATGGAGAGCATCCGACAGATAGACGAGCTCAAGACGCGAGAGACCGAGCTGTCGGCGAATCTGCAGCTCCCCCAGCCGCAAGAGCAGCTCGCCGGTCAGGCAGCGATGCTCTCCCAGCAGCAGCAGTTTGGCGCCGATGCCACATCCACCACCCAGCGGCCGCACAGTGGGGACTTTGGCGGCGTCACCACCAAGAAACGCGTCGCCAGCGCACCTCTGCCGCGTTGCCCGCCACCGGTCCAGGATCAGTCGCCGTCGGATCAGGCCCCGGCTGGCCACTCCATGGCGGCCTTCCACCCGTCTGTGCAGCAACAGCAGCAACGTCCGCAACAGGAGATCGCTGTGTGGCCTGCTGTCGATGGCTTCGCTCCGTCGCCCCCCGACCAGCAGCCCTTCGCACACCAGTCGATGGCGCCACCCCCTCCCCCGGCCGCTCACGAGCTGCCCACCTTCACCAAGCCACGAGGCACCCAAGAGGCAGGCGACATGGCCGCGGCGCAGGCCACGACCTCTCAGCAGCACCACCACCACCAGCAGCAGCAGCAGCGGAGCGAGGGCATGGTGTCGGTGGCGCGTTCTTCGTTTCACGCCGGCGGCGGTGGTGCGGCAGTGGGTACCGACCAGTCCATCCCCACGCGCAGCTCCATCTCTGGCGAGCCGCTTCACTCGGCTAGCGGGCCGTGGCATCAGCAGCAGCCGCCCCCCATACCCGGAGCGGGCGGACGTCTGCGCATGGGTTAGTCACACACACGCCTCACCCACCACCCATGCCATTCATTCCTTTGTCTGTGCTGTGGTGTTCTTTGCAGTCAACGGGGCCGAAGGGGTCGATCTTCGGAACCTGATCATGTCCGAGCACCACCGACAGGCGGCCATGCAGGTGCAGCAACCCCAACAACAGCAGCAGCAGGGGGGATCTCCTCCGCGCGTGCCGCTGACGCCCACTCCCCGGCCAGCAGGAGTGGTCACGCCGCCCCATCTGCGGGTGGCTGTGTTGGGTGGAGGGCGTGGAGAAGAGAGAGAGGGGTCGGTGCAATGGGTGGGTGTTCCCTCGCCTCCGCCAAATTTGGCTGGTCGGGTACTGCCGCCTCCCCCTGGGCCGAAGGCTTCCTACGTCACACCCAAGTTTGGCTCCCCTGGCAACCAGAGCGCGCAGCTATCGCCGCCCAGTGCTATGCCAGAACCCAATAGGTAAAACAATGTGATTGCACAAGAAAGATGGGTGGTAGTGCCATTCTCTCTGTTTGCCGCTTCTCGCTGTGCGTGGGTGTCTGTGTCTGTGTGCAGAGTTGAGGCTCCTGTTGGTGCAGCGGAGCCTGTTGTGAAACTTGGCGAGGTGTCGCAGCGCCTGACTGGTGCGAGCCAGCAGGTCCCCAGCTCAGCGCCATCACCGCCCTTCCCGCCAGTCCATGGCGGTCCGCCACCACCACCCCTACCGCATCGGCCCTTATTGGCTCCGCCTCCCCTCTGTACGCCACTATTCGCATCACCCATTCACGCACCCATGATGCCACCGATCATGGCGCAGCAGCAGAACTTCCTCCCCAGGCCGCCCCCGGTGCACATGGCGCCACCATACCTGGGGCCTTCGATCAACCCCACGTTGACACATCCGACGGTGGGCAGTGTGGGGAGGGTGGACAGACGAATCTGAGTGAATGGGTGATACGTTTGATGTTTGTGAATGTCAGATCGAGGGAGTTGGGAGACTGCAGCCTCCGATGGTCATGATGCCCGTGCCGATGCAGCGTCCGGTGCTGCCGGGGGGTGTGGCGCCGCCGATCTTTGGTGGGGGAGCAGTGGGAATGAGAGTGGCTGCGGGTGTGGGTGTGCGGGGAGGGGGTCAGCAGTTGCGTGGCGGGGGAATGAGTAAGTGTTGCGATGTGCCAAGAGTGCCGAGGGGTGGCTAGAGGGGTGTGTGCTGTGTGCCGACTGGCGTGTTTGTGGGTTGGTTGCCAGTGGGGGTGAGATTGGACAGATGTGTGTATATGGCTTCCTTGATTGGGACAGATTGGATGGATGGGCAGATGTGTACTGGGTTTGTTCGTGTGGGATGTGTGCAGTGTATGGCTAACGACAAATGCATTTCCTTTTCTCGGACTGACGCATGGAGAAACGATCCAATCATTCAACGATCCCTGCGAATAGTCACTCGTTGACTTCACTGCTTACTACTGACACATCAATCGTCCGCATCATGGCAGCCCACAGATAAATACCATACCATCGTCATGATCTCCTCCCCGCATCCATCCATCCATCAGCTGATCAATATGGTTAAATGTACATGCACTCACTGCACTGCTTCGCCATTGCATCCCACCAGCTCACTCACCCAGACACATACGCAGCCAGCCACGTCAATCCCACTCACAGAACATCCTCTCTGTGTGTGCCAGGGGCATGGTCTCCCTCCTGTGTTGGCGCCACCAGGTCGAAACGCACCTCAACATCCGCAATGTTGCAAACGGGTGCCTGGGAGTATGAGGGATCTTGAGAATGTCATATCTGCTCTGGAGACAGAGAACACTGAGCTGAAGCGCGCGTTCATCGCTGCCAAGACGCTCTTAGCTGAGTCAGGGGGCGGACGTGTGGATAGACGCGGGTGAAATCGTGTGTGCGTGTGTGTCTCTGTGTGTTTGTGAGGTCTTTGCTGCCAATACATACAATTTGACAGTTAGCCTGTCACATGTCTCTGCGAACCATGTCGATCCCGTTGCCACGCACAAGTCGGTTTTGTCCATTTGACATGCACTCCGAAAGTGAGATCCCTGACGCACCGATATAAAAGGTAGGCAGCAATCTGCAGACAAGGAAGACGCTCCATCAGTCTGTCTGTCTGTCTGTCTCACCGAGTGTGTCTCCATCTCTGCGAGCTCCTCACTCATCCCATCCTGCAGCCACACGTGACATACAGGCAATAAAGGGGTGCTCCGGGCTGTCTCGTGTCTCCTTTGTCCGACGCACCTTGTCCTGCTGGAGCTCGTTGATCTGTAGCATCATGCGATCGAGCGAACTCTTCAGCAGCATGAGAAAATCCTGATCGATGCGCGGTTAGATAGATAGGGGATGATAAGCTTTGCTTCCGTCTGCCTACGCTTTGGGCGTTGTATTCTCCCTGGAGAAACTCGACTTCCCTTGCTAAGGATGCCTGCAGAGGGAGGGAATAGTGTGTCATGTCAGAGTGTGTTTGTGGCAGGAGGGAGGGGACCAATCGCCCTTCTTTGGTATGTACCTTTTCGTCTTCGAGTTTCGCCCCCGCGCCAACTGCGACCACAGTGATGTCGCTGGCGTCGCTGAATCGACAGAACAGAACAGCACAACACCACCTGTGTTGTCGATCGTCGATCAATGGATGGACTGGGTGACTGAGTGAGTGTGTGTACCTGCGGCTGTCATCGAGGCCGTCGTCGTCCCACTCAGCAGGGGCGACAACCAACGCATGACACCCAGCCCGTCCGTCGAATACGTTTGAGTAGATGTCGACGAATATAAAATGTAAGCAGCAATCTGCAGATAAAGGCAGGCGCTGCAAGAGGATTGCTCGCCTTGAAAATGTCTCGTACACCACATACTTACTCGAGCATCTCGTGAGGCTGCTGTTGCTGCTGCATGGAATCCACCTCCCGCTGTTGGGACTGCTTTACCAAGGCATTCTGCAAGCCACACAGACAGACGGAACGGACTTGGCAACACGTAAGAGCGACACGCTTTTGTCGACTGGCGTTGGACCCTCTCTCTGAGCAGTCTGTCGATCTCCTGCTGCAACTCCGAGATCCCGACCTCAGTGACGTCGCTGAATCGACAGAACAGGAGAGCACAGCACCTTTGTTGTCGATCGATCAATGGATGGAAGGTCTGCCTGAGTGAGTATGTGTACCTTCTGCTGTCATCTTCGTCGTCGTCTTCGTCCTCCCAATAGGTCCGAGGCATCCACCCCCACCGGCGGCCAGGCCTGTGCCAGAACATGAGAGCTTCCCTCGCCCTCTCAGCCTGACACACACGCGTATAGTGGACATAACATAGATAGTATGACTAAGGAAGTGCTCCTCTGTCTGCACGCACGTGTGTGTGACCGACCTTCTGCCACCCTTGCTGGGCGTCTTTTAGCTGCTCTTGCAGCTGGGCCACTCGCTGCCGTGCGGCGTCTGAAACACACAAAGCCACATCACCAACACAAATTTCGGTGTATGATGCGTGGACGCTCCTGGCGGACGCCTTTGCTCACCCAGCTCCTGCTGCGCCTCCGCCCAGAACTCGCTAATAGTCGAGTAGTTGTCCTCAAAGAGTGCGGCCGACTGCTGGACGCGTCTGCATTGATTCATCAGTCCATCCAACAAACACAGTCATGTACGTACATATGGATGGGTCGGCTCCACTCTCCTCTCCACATGATGTGTCTGCTCACTCGTATTCGGCCTTCAGCTGTTCAAGCTCGGCGCGTAGTGGCGTCTCAACCTGGTCGCTCTCACATCTGCATGCACACACCAGGCAACGATATGATCAGTGAGTGACGTGTGCGTGTCGGTGCGCGCCACAATTTCAACATCGCATACACACCGACGTACCTGGCAGCAGCAGGGGCAGCAGCAGGGGCAGCCAGGGGGGTGTCGGAGGACGCTGCGGGGCGACACAGCGGAGACGATGCGAGGGCCGCGTCGATGGCAGCCTCGCACGCCGCAATCTCGACCGATTCATCTCGCAGGTGCTGTGGCTCCCGCTGCCATCGCTCCCTCTCCACTCTGCATGCATCACAACCAGAGACACCACATGCAGTACTGTGGTCTTAGTCTTTTGTGTGCATCTTCTCACATCGGAGGCCGCTCATCACAATGGGCTCATGATACGGTCTTGCTCGCCGCTGCTTGCTCGGTCACCCAGCCCGTCCGTCAGATACGTTTGAGTACATGTCGACGAATACAAAATGTAAGCAGCAATCTGCACACAAGGAAAGAGACAAAGCAAGAGGCATATTTGCCTTGAACATGTCTCGTACTCCACATACTTACACGAGCATCTCGCCCTCTCCTTGCCTCGCGCACTCGAGGTGGCTCTACCCTCTCCATGTCCACTCTGCATGCATCACAACCAGAGACACCACATGGCTATTGTGCCCCTAGTGTTTTGTGTGCATATTCTCACATCGGAGGCCTTGCTCGGTCACCCAGTCCGTCCGTCGAATACGCTTGAGTACACACACCGCAAAACAAAAGCCAGTACACGTCCGTCAGTCAGTGATTCAGTCAGCCAGGGAGAGGCATCAATGAGCAAGCGCAATGAGCAGCTGCCTGTTCCCAGGTCCCACGGCCGTTGGTGCCCACTGCGGAATCGGCTGTGCCCGCATCGGCTGTGGGGGAAGGGCCGGGCGGGGTGGTCGATAGAAGGGTGCGAAGGGCGGCAAGGACGGCAGGGAAGGCGCTAGGGGCGGCATAGACGGCAACACAGGAGGTCTGACAAAGACAGACAGGGAAGGAAGAAAGCACGTCTCTCTGTCCGTGTGTGGATGTGTCCATGTGCGTGCGCTGTGCCCAGCTACCTCATCGCAATCGGTGCGTGGGCTGCCGACGGCATAATCATTGGCGTTCTGCTAGGCACCACCGGCACACATCGATATCTGCACAACCCCCGCACAAGAGACCCACATGCTTGTCATCTGTGGGGTGGGTCTTGATTTTGGAGAATCAAGAGAAATTGGTACGAGGCTGCTCATGATTCCCCGATACTCATGATTGGTAGGAGGGCCGCGCCAGCGGGTGCAGCAGGCGCAGCAGTGCTGGTATACTGGGGGCGAGGGTGCTGGTACTGGTACGGGGCAGAGGGGTGGGCATACTGCTGCGCGTGGTACGATACTGATACGACTGCTGAGAGGGGTATACGACTGCTGTGCGGGCCTCACATAGCCGGCCGGCCGTCAGACGGCCCGGTGTGTCTGAGACCGATGGACCACCGTCTGACACACACGCACACACAGGCACAGCGTCAGACACCGCGTCACAAATACACAAACTTCTCTTCTTTCCGAACCTCGAAAACGATGCACTCAGGTCCTCCTTCTCGCTACAGAAGGGCGACAGACAGAAGGCAGGGCGTAATCAGTCGCCTCCCATTCAGCAAAAGGCAGGGCGCCACCGGCTGAGGCCTTACTCGCGGCACGGCGGTAGAGGACGAAACTGGCGGGCGACTTCCGGACGAGTTGGGAGGGGTGGGGAGGGGTGAGGCGGACCGCACAAGCCAACGACCAGCCCAAAAGAAGAACGAAGGGAGGAGCTGTGGCTGAGAGAACGCCGGAGAGCCCAACGCGGCCGGAAGATGCAATAAATCAAGGTTTGTCTGGTTTGGGGTTCGTCTCAGTCTCAACGCGAAAATCTCGCCCCCAGTGCATTTCCGTGACGCTCGTTCGTCCATTCATTCGCTACGTGCGTAGAAAACGTCACCAATGCAGATCCATCCCATCAGCGCCCATCCGTCCATCCATCCATTCACTTGCCACACACAAAACCAGAGAAGCATCAAGATCAATCCATCAGCAACGCCAAGCGGTGGATACATGAGGCACAAGTATGTATCGATACATAGCACATGTACGTACATCGTATATACAAGTAGGCAGACGGAAGCGCATGCAATTGAGTGCATGCAATTGAGTGTATGTATGTGTCCATCTCTCCTGTATCACCAGGGAAAACGAGAGATACGTCGGGTGGTCGGCGGTGCAGTTCATCTCTCTCTCTCTCTCTTTTTCTGTGTTGGAACCTCTCTTTCTCATCTATATCTACCATAAGGAAGCAGCAGGCAGCAGGCAATGCCTTCGTGGAAATGCCAGAGTGCGTATACACAACCAGCGAGGGGGATGTGTTCGTCTTCTGCTGCACGGATGCACAGCCAAGGGGAAAGGCATCTTGTGTGCCTGCGTGTCTGTGTGGTGCGTGTGTCGGTTCATCAGGTCCTAGGAAGTCGGCCATTCGTGGCTACCTGGCTAACCCGCCTCCCACAGCCAGGCCATAGCACACCACACCACACCACACAACACAACACACACACGTCATCACATCGGTGAATGCAAGCAGTACGTCTGCGCAAAACAGCCAGCAAATGCCATACCAGCAATACCTACCCGTCCCGTCCAACATAACATAACATCCCTATCCCCTAGGCAAAGCAGGAATCGGCACACCTACCTACCATCCCCCTCTCCCCGCGTCCCCTTTCCCTTTGCTACCCATCCATCTGTATGCAAGCAATGTGCGTGTTTTGCATGTGTGTGGTGTTGGTATATCTATCTGTTCTATCTTTGAGTTAGTATCCGGCGCCGGCGGCGACTGCCTTGCCCTCGATGGCGCCGAGGCAGACGGGGAGGAGTCCGGAGGAGCCGAAGCGGAAGGTCTTGGGCGTCAGCCACCCCTGGCCCATGATGTCATCGCCCATCTTGATGTACGCCTGCGCGTCAGCCACCGTCTTGACGCCACCAGCCACCTTCACGCCAACCGTCTTGCCGGCCTCCTGTGCACACACAGACAAACAGGGCAACACAACACAACACAACAACCACACATCCATGCACCCATCCGTTCATGTGTGTTAGGAGGACGTTCGCACCTTGGCTTTGGCGGCGGCTTTGAAGAGGAGTTCGACGGATTCGGGCGTGGCGTTGACGGGCACCTTGCCCGTGCTGGTCTTGAGAAACTCCGGGCCCGCCTCGATCACCGCCTCGCACGCAGCCGTGATCTGCGAGGCGTCCTTCAACTCACCGGTCTCCAGTATCACCTGCACACGCAGCCCACACACACACACACACACACACACACACATGCAGGGGATGTGTAGATCTATCTGTGTGTGGTGTGTGTGAGGTGTCCCATATATCTCCCCTTGACGGCGACACCCTTGGCATGTGCCGCGTCACACACGGCTTTGACGAGTGCGGTGACTTTGGGTTTGCTGCCCACGGGGTCCTCGCGAAACTCCTTGTAGTCTATCACCATGTCTATCTCGTCCGCACCGTCAGCTACAGCCTGCATGTCACATACCAACACACACCACACAAAACGCGCATGCGACACGTTCCCAAGCCAGATCTGCCCATCCCGCGGCCCTCCCACCCTCTGTGTGCCCATCCCGACGTACCTGTGTGGTGTCCTTGACGGTTTTGTCGACCCCGTCCTGCCCGAGGGGGAAGTTGACGACGCACGCCAGCTTGATGTGCGGCGCCTTCTCCTTGAGGATGGGTTTGATGGCCTTGACAAACTGCGGGAAGATGCAGAAGGCGGCCGGTGCGGGCTTGCAGTCCAGACGCGCCTCGACAAACTTGGTCACGCTATCCACCGTGTCCGAGTCGTTGAGCGTCGTGTGGTCGATGAACGTGATGGCTTTGGCGGCGATCTCGGCCTCACTCATGGTGGTGCAAAGGATGGATGCGGCAATACGATACCAAGACAAGAAGGGAGGGGAGTCGCAAACGATGGGCGAGCTCAAACACCCTCAAAACTCTGGTGGGCGGATCCTGGCCGTTGTGGAGGGAACGCTTGGCTGAATCACGAATCACTTCACGATGGTTCATGGCTGCAAGGTCAAGCATCCTCACTCCACCCTTTCCCCCGTCAGCAACAAGACAACAACACAAAAAGAGGGCCAACGACGCTGAGATGCTCTGCTGAGGCAGCAATGCTGCATCTATACAGTCACAAGACAGGAAGACAACGACGGATGGATGGATGGATGGGCCACAGCATACACACATACATGCATATTGACACAACTGAGAAAATACCACAGGTGACTGACCGGCCACTATGCACACACACATCACGCCTGCCACACAGCACCACACCACACCACGTTACACCATGGCAACGCTGATGCGATGGATCAACATGGTGGGTTAGTTGATTTGGTGGGAGATATCATCTTACTGGTGCACTGCATCCATCTCCTTCCCTCCCTCCCTCCCTCCTCCGCCTATCTATAAGTCAATCGTCCCGCGCGTAATATGCCCGAATGCGAATGTGCAGGTGCCCTATGACGCCTTCCGGCAGCTCCGATTGTTCGTCCCCACCCTCGCCATCCTCTCCACCTCCCGCCCCATCTGTCCCATCGCCGTTGCCGATTGCTCCTTCGTTGGTCTCGTGTGTGTCCTCTCCCTTGGTCGGCAATGTGGGGGCAGACGCGCTGACCACTGGAGGGGGCACGGCGCCCTCCTCCGATTCTCCCTGTCCGTCCTCTGCCCCCCTCTGCTCGTCCGTCACGCATGGCTGGCTCCCCCTCGAGAAGGTCTGCTTGATGTGCCGCCACATGCCGTGGCTCGTCTGCCCAAAAGCCGCCACCACGTTGGCCAGGGGGCCGGTGCGGCCTGGCGACGACTCGGCCGCCGACACCTTCTGCAGCAGCTGCCAGTTCTCCGTGAGAGTGGCCAGGTGCTCGGCGCTGGCGGGCTGCAGGGCCATCCAGGCTTCAAAACACTCGTCGGTGTCGCCGCTCCACGCCGCTGCTGCTGGTGATGATGATGATGAACCGGGGGATGGGGGGAAGAGTGATGGGACGGAGGGGGCGGGTGAGGGAGGCGGGGAGGAGTCGGTGCTGGGTGCTCGGAGGGGGGGCATAACGTCAGAGAGGGATGAGGGTGACGGTTTGATGCCGAGGTTGTGGTCGAGTGCCATCTTGAAGCCGTCCAGGAGGATGGGGATGGAACCCACGATCTCGTCATCGCCCCACTTGAGCTCCTTGCTCTTTACCTGCACACCCACAAAAACCCAGGCACACACTCTGACTGGTGGTGGATGTCTTCACACACTGCTGTCGTGTCTGTGTGTGCGGCTGCGTACCTTGACGATGAGCACTCTGGCCGTGTCGATGGACACACGATCGCCAAACGTCACCGGCGTCGGCGGCTCCCAACGGGGGTCGCGGGTGCCGTTCACGGGACTCGTCAACTGCCACACACACACACACACACACACCATCAGGCCAGCCGCCCGTGAAGCCATCCATACACAAGACACCGAGTACCTACCTGTCGCTCCTCTTTGGTGATCTCGTGTCCGCTCGAGAGTGCGGGGACGGCCACACAGTAGGGGTTGATGAGGCGTGTGAAGCGGAGGAAGCCCTTGTCGCCATGCCGGTGCAGCAGGGGCAGGGGTATGAGTGAGCGGGGCACCGGTGGCAGGCCCAGCCCCTCACCCGCCAGCACCGTCACCTCCACCCGCAGCCGCCGGGGCTTCTCGAACTCCAGAACGTCCAGCTCGTTGATCAGAGCCGACCCGTAGTCCTCAAAACAAATGTCTTCCTGACACACACACACACACACACATCTGTGCACCGAGCCTTTCCCCCGCCCTGAAGCTCACCGTCCGCCCACAGGCGTTTGAGAGTTTGTCGAACCACATGGCGAGCTCCCTCCTGGCCTCCTCCAGAGCCCCGGGCGGCACCACATCGGCACCCAGCGACCCCCACCTCCGAAACGCCCCCCTGAACCGACGCTCTAAACCACCACCGCCGTGGCGATGATGCCAACGACTGCTGAGGGAAACTCTGCGAGAGCCCCTCGATGACGTGTCTACGCCCCTGTCTGACATGGTGGGGGAATGGTCGTCGAGTGACCCACGCCCCGGCATGTCCTCTAGCGAGTGGAAGGGGGTGGTGTCGTCAGAGGACGAACGGGGGAATCGGCGACCGGACGGCGCCGGCGATGGCGATGGTGACAGAGAGCGGGTGCGATCGTGAGCCGTGGGGGACAAGTCGGACGCTGCCGATGCCGGCTGTGACTCGCCCGCCAAGTCGGCGACAATGACGGACTCAGCAGCGTCCGTCGACCGTCTGTGGATGGGCATGGAGGAGTTTCGACTCAGAACGGACCCTCGCCGAGAGCCTGCAGGTAAGGGAGGCAGGCCGGGCAGTCCGCCGACATCCTCGTCGGCAAGATCGGGTACGGTGGGTGCGAGGAATGTGGACCGCATGTAGAAGACGCAGAGGTCGAGTGTGGATGTTTCGATCTCCTCCTTGTCTCTGTGGTAGTGGCATCGCCTGGAGAGGTTGCCCGTGGGGATGGTGTAGAGGGGCCGGCGGGCGAGGTGGCTGCTCGACTCGTAGAAGCAGATGGACCAGGGCCTCACCACCACCCAGCGCTTCTGGAAGTCGGGGCGGAGGGGGGGCGACGCCAGCAGCAGGTACCCTTGCATCAACACAGGACCAGACAGGTAGCCGATCCTGATGCAGACAGACAGGCACACAATTAGCCACACGTACAGTACATGTGTGTGTGTGTGTTATATATCCGTCGGTTGTTCGTCTGCCGACCTGTTGATGCCTTGGTCGCCGACTTCTGCGGCCATGTACATGGCGACGTCAGTGAGTCCCATTTGGTAGGCGTACAGGCCGTGGTACACACCCATCCCCCATCGATCCAGCGCCTCCACATGCCTTTTCGTCACCTCATTCGTCCAGTCCTCACCGTACCTGACCACACACACACACACACACACAGCACCCGTGCAGTGCACCTCCTCCCTCCGGTGTCTCTGTGTGGTATGCGGTGGGTCCACCAGACGTACACTTCTTTTGAGTGGTGCAGAGCGGCATCTTGGATGGACTCGACGACGTTCTTGACGCCCATGTCCACGTTGCGCATGACGTGCACGTATGCGATGCCCACACTGCTCACCACCTCTGCCAGATGCCGCCGCCAATGCACGTCGGGCCGCACACCGCCACCCCTCCCTCCAGCCGACTCCTCGTCCTCCCCCTCCCCCTCAGTGTCGCCGACGCTCTGCGGCGGGTTGAGTGGCAGCCGCACGCTCGGCTGCACAAACTGACGCGCGAGGGGAGAAGAGGATGATGACGGTTGCGACGGTTGCGATGGTTGTGGCTCGGCCGACACAGAGACTGTCCGTCTGGAGGTGGTGGAGGCGTCTGGGGTGTTGGAGTGGGGAGTGCCTGTGTGGAGGCGGCTGTGGTGTGGCGGGGGTGGGAGGCTTCTGTCCCTCTTGGGTGTGGCGGTGGTGGTGCCGCCGTCGTTGTTGTCGCTGTTGGGTGACATCATGTCGGTGATGGTGTGGCTCATCGAGGCGGCCCCGCGGCCCAGGAGGCGCACGGGGGTCATGATGGCTGATGTCACGAACTGGAGACCTCGGTACACGTCGTTGGCTATCTGATCACCGACACGGCATGGCGCGTATCAGCATCTCACTCAATGACACGTGCTTGCTGTGATGTCTGTCTCTCTGATCTGACAGACCTTGTTGTGTCGTTCTGCTCTCTCCTTGGCTTGCTGTGTGACCTCCCGGTCCTTCTTGCCGAACCAGTGGGTGACGTTGTGCGTGTACGCGTGCGCAAACGTGCGAATGCCGGCACCAAGGGCGTCGCTGCCACGAGTTATCATCAAACCACAACCACTGCCGAACGCCTGACACACACACACGCACAGAGAGAGAGACGCACAAACACGCCGATCGATCAACCAACCGCCCCTCCCTCCCTCCCTCCGCGTGTGTGTGTGTCTGCCTTTGCCCACCTGTATTCGTTCAGCGGCGCCCCCCTTCATCCTCAGCTCATATGCGTGGCGGCTCTGCGTGTTGGTGGCCGTCTGGGCGGCCACGTCCAATGCCCGCCCCTCATCCGTCAGGGGGCTGCCCACCGACTCGATGGCCCCCACCCCGAACGCACAGTACTGGCTGAACACAAACTCCAGCTCGCGGAAGAAGCACCGGCACTTCCTGCGGCTATCGTAGTGCACCTCCAGCAGCTCCACACACACGAGCAACTCCATCCCGCCATGCGGCGGCCGAACGCCCATGCAGCTGCTGTCGCTGGGCGCCTCGATCGCCTGAAGGGGCGAATGCTGGGGGGCCTGCCGCTTCCGAAGCGGCTGGTGGGCCGTGACGAGGACGTACTCGCGATTGTGCTCCCCCTCCTCGCCGTCTGTGGTCTTGTCAGGGGCCACGAGCCCCTCGTCGGTGCGCTCTTTGCCGGTCTGTTTGCGTGCGATGCGAGTGCCGTGGACGAGCGGGATGTTGACGACGGCCGAGTCGCCCTCGACGACGAGGATGGCGCCGCGCCGCCCCTCCGACACAATGGACAGCTTCCCGCGGCTGAAGGCCAACGGGTCAGCCTCCCTCTCAGACCTACTCATGACCGTCAGCTGCTTCGGGTACTGGCCGCCACTGTCGCGATGGACCGGTTTGTGCCGCTCGCGGGAGTCCTTGCGGGGCCGCCCATGGTGAACACGGTCCCGCCACAGCTCGAGCTGGCTGGTCTTGCGACGGACGGTGATTCGGGCATGCGGACAGGGCAGCAGCGGGTGATGCTCATAGGGAGCTGAGGGGGCCAGGGCAGCCAGAGTAGAGGACTTGTCTTCAGGAACTTCAGGAAGAGAGAGAGAAGGGGGCTGGTGTGGCAGCTGTGACATTTGTCGTGGCCGATTAGTAACGCTGAACCTGCTGAATCATTGAGCTGAATCCACGCACCATTAATCTGCTGGCCCTCCTCTTGCTAGCTCAGAAGCTCGCAGGGGTTTTTCAGCCGAGTGAGGAGCTTCTGCGGTAATCGCATGTCAGGGCCATCGCATCCGCCTAGAGGCTGAAGCAGCTGGCTGAAGTTCCCCTCATCCAGCACATCTTCGGTCCGCTGCGGTCCTGTTGTGCTCGTTGGGCATCGAGCTGTCTGTCCTTAGAGCAGGCTTCAGTATAGCACCAGCTTGGGTGATGGTTTATCGAGGATGAGTCACAATCACAACGGAGGCGTGACCGACTACATCGAGGACATCGAGGATGACCTCGGCGACCTGCCGCCCTCCTCCTCACCTGGCAACATGGCGGTGCAGGCAGGCGGCCTGGGCGCCTACTTCCCCGCTGCTCACGGCGGCCTCACCCCTGGCTATGACGTCTTCCCCACCATAGGCGATACCTCTGGTCAGTTTGGTGGCTTCCCCGGCGGTCAGCAGCTCCTCATCAATGACGACGAAGCCGACGACGACGACGATGACGACGATGGGGTGAGCAGAGCACACCTGACCAGAGCAGCACACGACACGACACAGTGTGTCTTGGGCATGTGATGTGATGTGGGATGTGATTGTGATGATGTGATTGTGGTGTGTGTGTCGCACGAGTCCCTCAGGAGGAGGAGGAGGCCTACGGCAGTGAAGTAGAGGACGACGACTACAGCCAGAGCGACAGTGAGGGAGCCGACGGGTACAAGCCGGGCGGCTACCACGTGGTGCAGCTGGGAGAGGTCTACCAGAAGCGGTACTTCATCGAGCAGAAGCTCGGATGGGGTCACTTCAGCACCGTCTGGCTGGCCAGCGACCACCACGGGCCCAACAAGCCGCGCTTCGTGGCCCTCAAGTTCCAGAAGTCCGCCACCCACTACACCGAGGCCGCCGAGGACGAGATCAAGCTGCTCAAGCGCGTGCTGGAGCAGGAGGACAAGCCGCCATGGGTCGAGTACTTCGACAGCCTCAGGGCGCAGATCCCCGACCTCGATCTCCCCAGTGTGCCGCAGGAGTCGCTCTCATACCCCTCCACCTCACCCTCGCCGTCGCCCACCCGTCCGATGAGGCACCTCACCGACTCGCCCGACAGCATCGCGCCCCGCCCTGAGCGACGGCCGACCGGGGTGGTGCGCTTCGAGGGCGATTTCCGCCATAGGGGGCCCAATGGGGTGCACGTGTGCATGGTGTTTGAAGTCATGGGGCCCAACCTGCTCACACTCATCAAGAAGTACAACTTCAAAGGTACGTCGTCAGACAGACAGACATATGGGGGAAGTGAGTGTCGGCGGACTTATCCACGTGTGTGTGTTGTGTGTGTGTGTTGTGTGTGTGTGTTGTGTGTGTGTGTGTGTGTTGTGTGTGTGTGTGTTGTGTGTGTTCAGGCATTCCGATTCGCCTTGTGCGTAAGATCGCTACCCATGTGTTGCTGGGGCTGGACTACCTCCACAGAGAATGCGGCATCATTCACACCGGTGCGCACACACGTCAATCGTCAGACACACACGGACACACTCATCCATCCACCCGCTCACCCACTCACTCCACACATGTCGTCTCCCTCTCTGCCTCTCCCTGCCTGTCTGTGTGTCAGATCTGAAGCCCGAGAACGTCTTAGTGTCGATCCCTCAGCTGCAGCTGCCCGTGTGTCGCCCCCGGCACGCCGTCCCGTCCCCCAAGGCCGAGCGCACCCTCACAGAGCGTCTGCAGGCGACCTACGAGCATGACTCCGGTCTGACCAAGAATGCCCGCAAGAAGCAGCGCAAGAAGATCCGCAAGCAGATCGCCAAGGCCGAGCAGGGCAAGGATCAGCAGAGCCTCGCCACCATCCAGGAGGACGAGGAGCACAACGATGAGGACGGCGAAGCTGGCGAGGCTGGCGGGGAAGGTGGTGGCCCACCTGCTGCAGCAGCAGCTGTTGGGTCTTCGACGGTTCCGTGTGAGAGGGAGGATGGCGATCAGGATGACGACGGTGATGACGACGATGACGAGGAGGAGGGCCCTGGTGGTGGTGGTGGTGTGGAGAGCACGCCCTCCAAGACGGGCAGCGCGCCCCCCACGGCCGAGGACAACACGCCGCAGAAGGCCAAGAAGAAGAAAAACAAGAAAAAGAAGAAAAAGAAGGGGGGGAAACACGACACACCACAGGTGGCGGCAAACCCCGACGCACAGCCGCCCTCTGAGCCATCAGCACCAGCACCAGCACCAGCACCGGCCGACGACCAGCCTGCACCTGTGGCGGCGGCAGCAGCAGCGGCATCCGCGGCAGCGAGTGACAAGCCCCAACCCGCACCCAAGCCGGCGAGCAAGCCATCCAAGCAGCAGCCCCAGCACCAGCAACCACAGCAGCCGTCCGAGGCGTCCTCATCTGCCAAGGCTCCCTCTCGCCCGGGCCACGGCGGTGCTGCTGTCGCTGCCGCTGCCGCTGCCGCTGCCGCTGCATCGTCTGGCGTGGCCCCTTCGGCATCGAGCAGGGATTTGGTGCCGCCCGTGGGCCACCCTCCGTTTGTGGAGCACCAGCTCAAGCCGAGTGCGAGCGACCCGTCCCTGCTGAGCAGCTACATGAGCAGCCGTGAGGCGGTCATCCAGAAGGAGCGGCGGCTGTACAACTACTTCTCGGCCCTGGGGAGGCGTGTCCGGGACAAGGCCTTCGACCGACATGAGAAGGAGATGGTCGACAGCTACAGGCCGGCCACGTCGGGCACCGGCCAAGGTGGCGGGCAGGGCGAGGAGATTCCCGAGGAGTTTCTGAATGTGGGTGTGGACGAGTATGGCCACCCACTGGTGGGCCAGCAGGGGCTGCATGTGGGCGGGCCCCGCGTGTCGTCCTACCTCCGCTCGGGGCGGTTTGAGGTGGCGCCTGGGCTGACGGAGGAGGAGTGGCATCAGCGGCTGGCGTCGCTCATCAAGCCCAGCAGCGCCGAGATCTTCGAGCGGCACGACGCCGAGTACAAGATCGTCGACCTCGGCAACGCATGCTGGATCAACCAACACTTCTCGGAGGACATCCAAACCAGACAATACAGATCGCCAGAGGTGAGGGAGAGAGATGGACGCGATAGCCACACGCCACAGCCACATGCGTGTATCCCCTCTCTCCGTCCGTTGCCTGCAGGTGATTTTGGGCATCGGCTACGGCCCGTCTGCGGACATTTGGTCTCTGGCGTGCATGATCTTCGAGCTGTGCACGGGCGACTACCTGTTCGACCCCAAGTGCAACGAGCCCCACCCCGTCGACGCCCAGGACAAGGAGATCCTCCGCGACGAGGACCACCTCGCCCTCTGCGAGGAGCTACTCGGACACTTCCCCGACAAGCTGTGCCAGGGCAACAAGGCCCACCGGTACCTGCAGAGGGAGGGCCGTGACGGCACGGGGCGCATCCGCCTCCGTCACATCAGCGAGCTGTCCTACTGGAACCTGCCGTCCATTCTCCGGCGCAAGTACAACTTCTCCTCTGAGGGGGCCGACGCGCTGTCGTCCTTCCTGCTGCCGATGCTCAGCCTCGACCCCGACGACAGATGGGACGCCAGGAGGCTCCTCACACACCCCTGGCTGACGGGCGATGACGCCGCTGCCAAGGCCGCCTACCCCGTCCCTCACCCGGCAGAACCGAGCCCGTGAGGAGACACAAAACATACATACATACCCAAGGAGAGCTGACAGACAGAGACGCATGTGCGTGTCTGTCTTGGTGGGGTGTGTGCAGTACCTGGCATCCCGATGGCCTGCTTCCAGCGGAGAGTGTGGACTCGCAAGGCCCCCTGGGTGCCTCGTCATCGCATTTTGGCGGCATGGCTGCGTTCGGCGGTGGCCTCGGCACCACGTTTGCCGACATGACCGAGGCCATGGGACTGCACCCCGCATCACCCTTCGCTACCATCTACCCTGGCGACTTCCAGCGGCTGGCGGTAAGTCAGTCAGGCACCGATACATCCATCCCTCTCGCTGTCTGCATTCATTCATTCATGCATGTCTTGTGTGCGTCGCGTCGATCCATCCATCAGGGCCAGCCGGGGCCGTCTCATGGGCTCGGCATGTCCTATCGAGGCGGTCGCGACGTGGAGCCCTCCCCGCCGATGCACGAGGCTCACGAGGACACCCTATCGGCCGACGACGCGGCGCCCTTCACGCGTGGCCGTCGACCAGTAGCAGTGGCCGCCACGCAGCGCGCCGACCGCGAGCAGCCGCCGGCCCGCATACCGGGGCAGCCCAGGGGTGGAGTTGGTGTTGGTGATGGCGGTGGTCTTTTTGACGACGGTGACGGCGTAGACTGGGTCATCGGCAGCTATGCTGGCGGGCGACAGTACGGTGCAGCCGTGGCTGCGTATGGCGGGGGGGACGAGGGGGAGGGCGAGGAGGAGGACGGCGATGCGGTGAGATGAGATGAGGTCTGATGTCGTTCATATGACAACACGCACAGTGGACGAGCGTCACGTGTGCTGTGTGTGATGTGATGTGGTGTGTTGGATTGGATGGCTGTCAGGATGACGAGCAGGACGAGAGTGACGATGCCGACGGAGAGGAGGGCCGAGGCGATGAGGAGGAGGAGGAGGAGTGGGAGGACGACTCAGACCAGTCAGATGAGCACGAACACACAGCCACCGAGGGCTCAGGCGCCTTCCAGTCGCCCTCTTCCCTCCAGCCCTCGCCCTTGCCGCCCACCATGGAGCGCGCCGACTCACGCAAGGCCGAGTACGCCGACGACGAGGCAGACCGGCGCTCCAAGCGCATCCACACACACGCTCACGCCCCCTCGCCCCCCTCATCCTCTGCTGCTGAGGGTCCGGACATTCTCGCCGGGTCGTCATTTGGGGCCGGGCTGCGGCAGGTCAAGCACTCGGGCTCATTCGAGATTGGGGTCGACCTGCGGGACCCTGCTGGCATGTGGGGCGGGTTTAGTGGCGGTGGAGGCGGTGGTGGGCATCGCAGAGTGTACCGTCGATCGCAGCCAGGGGGTCAGCAGGGGGAGGGGACCAACGGCACGTTGCTTGGCGGGGTGGCCAATGGCGTCCCGGATCCCTCAGCGTCATCCAGCGCGGCACAAGCACCTTCGCACCCACACCCCAGAGTCAACGGCGACAGCTCATTCGCCGCCCCGGCCAATCCGTCCAACTCGTCCGCTGCTGCAGAAGCTTCTGCAGCAGCAGCAGCAGCACATGCCGATGTCAATGCGCCGTCGTCTCCCCCCCGTATGTCGCACCCCATTTTTGATAGCCTGCTGGTCAACAACTACATTGACAGCAAGGGGGGCGTGCCGCACCCCAGGATAGAGGAGCTGCCATCGGGCGATGAGGAGGAGGGCGGGGAGCAGCCCAGTGGTGGTGGACATGGGGGGCTGCATGGTGGTGGTGGTGGTGAGGAGAGTAGCGATGGGGACATCATCAACTTGACGGCAGGTGGGTCTGCGAGTGGGAGTTCGCCGTCGCCCGAGAGGCCTGGCCAGCGTCAGCAGAGGGCTTCTGCCGGTGCTGCTGCCGTGCCCGTTGTGGAGGAGGTCGACTGATATGTGGACGGGCAGATGGACACGTCGATCGCTGACAGGTGAGGAACAGACATATCAGACAGACAGACAGAGAAATGTGTGTGTGTCTTGTTGTCCCTGTCCTCTTTAGGAGTTTTTTCTGCGTTTTCGTGTTGAGATAACGGACGGTGATGGATGGCGAGATGGCGCAATTTTCGCGCGGGGGCCAGGCTCACAAAATCCATCGATGCGGCCACGGCTGTGGGGTCAATGTGACTATGTATGAATGTTGTGTGCGTCAGCACTCGCTGGGTGCAGCGCTGTGCTGTGCCCCCTTTTAAGTCGTTCGTCACGTGACTGACAGACACGGGCGACGACGCTTCCAGGGCTGCCGACACACACGCTCACACACACACACGCACACGCCATAATCGACCGACACTACCCTCTCCTCTCCCCCTCCCCTCTGTCTCTCTCTGATATGCATATCGACCGACCCACCTTGGCGTTGGCCTGCCTGCCTGCCCCTCCCTCCCTCTGCTTGCTGCTGTGTGTGTCCGGGTGAGAGTGATTTGTGTCCGTCCTTTCGTCCCCCGTTCTTCTGTCCGTCGGTGTGAGAGCCCGGGTGAGTGACGTCCGTTGTTTGTTTTCTCGTGTGTGTCTGTGTGTGTGTGTCTGTGTCATCTGTTTGTGTGTCCTCGGTGTCCGTCCGTCCGTCCTTCCGTGCTGACTACACTACTGTGTATGCGTTGCGTGTGACCGACCGATCGGTGTGACGGCGGCTGGCTGCATAGAACTGCTGAGATGCTGACTGACTGCCTGGCACACACACATGGACGGACGGACAGGGGGGCAGGGAGGGAGGGAGGAAGGGTTGTGAAACAAATCAGTCAGGTGACCACTCACACATGACATGAGCCAGTCAGAGCCGAGAGCCCACATACGCATTGCACCACACAGTTAAGAGGCAGGCAGCGCAGCCACAGCCACACACGCCCTGTATCTCCCGAGTGAGTGCCCCCCCCCTGCCCTGCCCTGGCCTGCCCTTTCCTTCCTTCCCTGTTTATTTTATTGGTCCTTCCCTCCATGCCATGCCTACCAGACCCCTTTCTTTCAATCTTTCCATCGACACCCATGGTGGCCTGCTGGCAGTGAGTGAGTGATGGGGCTATTTGTGTCCACACGCAATACAGACAGACAGACAGACGCATTGACGCACACCCGTAGCAGGAGGCAGCCACGCCAGACCAGGCCCATCCCCCACTTTAAGGGCAGCCAGCCAGCCGGCCAGCAGACCCCCATACGTTTGTTGGTGGTGTGTGTGCGTGCGCGGCTGATGGATGGATGGATTCATGTGTATGTCATGGATGGATGGATGGATGGACAGACAGACAGAAAGGTGGTGCATTCAGTCACTGCTGTGTGCGCGATGGATTGACCGATCGACTCGTCGCCGGCCTACAGATTGCAATCACTTGACGGGCAGCTGACTAGAAGGTGCTCAATGCACTCTAGAGGTCTTAAATGTCACTAAGTCCTTGTCTGCCTGAGTGGTTCTGATGTGTCCCACACACCACACCACACAAGAGGCAAATGCACGCAGACCCATCAAACGATCGACACACACACACACACCGCCAAGGGGGCAAATGCGCGAGCGCACTGACCCCCACACAGACACACCACATGAGGGCAGAGCATACGCGACGCGCACACACACACACACACACACACACATGCGCAGCGCACAGCGAGGCCTCAGCTCGGTATGAAGGCAGTCGTTCATCCGGCTGTGCCCCCAGCTCTCATCCATCTCATGCAGACAAGAAACACACTCACCTCACACAGCATAGCATAGCATCCAGGCGCACAGCACAATCCAGGCAGGGCTTGTTCGTTCCTCCTCCTCCCTATACATGCCATCCATCGATCGTATCGGCCGGCTGGCTGCGTCGCGCCAGAACCCAACAAACACAAATACAGCTCAAAATCGATAAGGAAATGAACCAACCAACCAACCACCCAACCACCCAACTCAATAAGGCCTTATCTTATCTACGGCATTCATTCATTCATTCAGACAGACAGACAGACGTACGTGCCTATAAACCAAACCAACAAAACCGAGGCAGGGAGGCTCTTTCTTCTGTTCTTCTTTCTGTCGATATGATAAACAAACAAAGCAGCCAGGCAGGCAGGCAGCCACACTCAGTCACACTCACACTCATTCAGTCAGTCAGTCAGTCAGCCGTTTTTTAAACGCTGCAAGCAAGCTACATACACATGCATGACTCACGCAAAAAGAAAAATGCCCAATGGTCGTCTTTCTCTTAGTATGGGCAAGCCGCCCATCCATCCCCCAGGACCCCCGTCCGTCCGTCAAAACCAGTCAGTCGGTCACTCCCTCTTCCGTGCTCGCCTCCTCACACTGCCCGCCGTCATGACGTCATCTCCACCACCATCACCAGCAGCAGCAGCAGCCGACCCGACGGACTCAGACGGGGTGCCCGGAGTCCCAGCTTCCGCACTGCCGCAGGTGTCACTCTCGCTCTGCGACTCAGCCCCAGACTGCGTCTCACTCCCACTCGCGTCGCTTACCGCCCCTTCTGAGGGCGACTTGGCCATTGCAGCCCGCTGTGCTCCTTTGTCCCTCCTGTCTTTGCCCTCGCCTTTGCCGAGGCCGATGGCGATGAGTCTGCCGAACCAGTAGAGATTGAGGCAGTGGAACAGCGCATTGATGGCCAATATCGACACCCGGCCGGCCAGCGGCAGACACTCGCCCGTCGGGCCGAAGTAGGTCGTCCACATGTCGTAGGTCACCCACCCACCGAACATCAGCCGACTGGCGAGAAACGACAAGGCGAACAGGACCCTCACGCCCAGCAGGAGAGAGGGGCTCACCCTCTCGGTCAGCGACGGTAGAGAGAGGAACGACTGCGTGTGCAGGAGCACCGTGCTGATCTCGTAGAGCATGCAGGCGACGGCGTGTTTCTGCCCGAAGTCCGTGAGGCACCCAATGCCGTAGATGTAGATGCAAAACAGGGCGTGCAGCACATAGTCCCGACCCCACTCCTCCACCACCGACACTCCCAGGTCCCACCAGAAGTAGCCCCACGACACCAGCAACACCCAGAATGCCCGAGGCACGGGGGCACACAGAGAGGGGAATGAGATTACGGGGACGGTCAGGCAGACGTAGAGGGCCCCTGTGCAGGCGTAGGCGGCGTGCAGCAGTGCGATGACCCTGCAGCTGGTGTCCTTGCCCCACTTGCTCTTGCCCGCCACATAGAGGAGCTGCCACGCCAGGGCGACCAAGGCCGTGAGGGATGCTCGGACACAGAGGGAGGGGGGAGCGGCCGATGAGTAGTCAAAGAGGCTGCCTGCCTCATCGGATGACGGCCGCCAGGGCACGCCGAAAGAAGCTCGGTCCATACAAGTGGCCACAAAATCGCTGGGCGATGCAAAAGTGTCAGAAAAGACCTCAGGGAATGTCGGGAAAGGCCATGCTCCCTCCCAAGGCTAAGCTCGCAGTTGCAGATCTCTCCCGAGCTCGCACGTGGAAGAGGCGAAGACGCTTTTGGGTGAGGTTGAGCAGTGCAGCAGCCGAGATGCACTCCTGCCTGTTGGTGGTGGCGCTGTCCGCCGTCGTGGTCAGCGTCAGCTGTGCGCCACTCCGTCTGGTCCGCACAATTGGCTTCGCCCCAGGAGCGGCTCCACTGACCCTCTCGCCCTTGGCCTCACAGCATCAGCCAACCCAGCTAACCCGGCTGAACCAGGATGCGCCAAGGCAGCTCATTCCCGGCATGCCCAATCCCCCTCCCCCCGCCGCACCGCCCGTTGCAAAGCCGCCCGCCACACCGGCTGTGACGCCCACTGCCGCACCGGCCCCCTCCACCACTAAACCCAGTCAGCAGAGCCTCACCTTCGCTGAGGGTGAGGTGGGCAGACGGCACGTGTGCACACGTGCAGACAGGACGGCCACGGGGAAGTGCTGCCTGCATTACTGAGTGCATCCGATGATCTCTTTTTCTCTCTGTGTGTGGGTGTGGGTGTGATTGTGGTGTGCCCTGACTGCACAGGTACGCCGAAGAAGGGGGTGTTTCCTTTGAACCGCGAGAACGCCGGTTGGGTTGAGTTTGCGGCGGCCAATGTCGGGTTTGTGTTGGGCCTCATCCTCATCAACCCCATCTTCGGACTCGTCTTCGCATCACTATTCAACTATGCCTCCAAACAACAAGGTGGGTGAGGCGGGTCGGCGGCAGGGAATCATAGTGAACACATCGTGGACGATGGGTGTGCTGTGCGGGGTGTGGCTGCCATGTCGTTGATTGCTGTCGCTCAGGTGAGGTTGGTGAGATCTTTCGAGTGCTGGGGCGGTTTGTCGTCGACATCGTCAACCTCGTCGTGTCGTAAGCACCACCGCACACAGAGAGCAGCACATACATTCACAGCACTGGTCGATCTGCCTGCTCACGCCTCACCTGTGGTCCTCCCCTCCTGCCTTGGTCTCTTGTATCCCTGCCTGTCTGTCTGCAGTGCTGACAGCCGCTTTGGGCTTGCTGACAAGGCCAAGTCGGCAGCGGGCAAGGCGTATGACAACATTAAGGTGGGTCAGCAACGGAGATGGGGGGACAGACGAGGCAGAACACGCCACTCATCACACGACGGACCGTTCTGTCCTGTCTTGTGCTCATTTAGGGCAATTTGGAGGACCCGACTCCCCTGTCCAACGCCGAGAAGACACTGACCGACCTCGGCTCAAGGCTCAAGGTCGGTCGGTCGGTCGCCGGACCAGATGTGCAAGAGGGGTATGCATGTAGCGTGTCTGTCTTGTTTCTTTGACTGACGCACACTCAGGAGTTTGACGAGAAGAACGATGCGCGGGGGACTCTGCTGAGGTGGACCGCCACAGCAGGACAATACGCCGGACAGTTCTACGACCAGGTGAACCTACACACCAACACCCACGGCACTTTACGGCACGGCTCACCAACACACCCACGCACGACTTGTGGTGTGCTATTCCTTCCGCGCTGTGCCTGTGTAGCTGGGTGAGCTGAACAAGGAGTACAATCTGACTGGGCAGGCTGCCGACCGCATCAACACGTCCATCAAGACCATCCAGGAGCAGATGAAGGAGGAGGAGGCGGGCCCCACACCACCGCCCGTCACCAAGGCACCGGCACCACCATCAGCCGCACAAACAGTCGCCAAGAAATGATGATGATTGAATGGATGATCAACCAACCAACATGGCATCTGAGGGGAGAGGGCGTGCGTGTACCGATCGGATGGGGCTGTTGTGCCTAGATGCCTAGATGGGTAGATAGATAGATGCCATGGGGGGCGGGGATGCGTGCGGTCCGCGAGCTCGAGAGCTCATGTCACCGTGTGTGTGTGTGTGTGTTGGGGTGTTGGCGCATTTTCTCGTCCGTCCCCCCTCTGCCTCTCTCCTCCATATCCTCTCTCTCTCTCTCTCTCTGGGTGTGTGTCTTGTGTGCGTGGCTTGCGCCCCTCCGCTCATGTATCAAGTCAGTTTTCACCTAGTTTGCTTTTTGCCTTGCTCTCAGCGAGGGACAGGGAGAGAGAGGAGCACCGTTGCTGCCATTCTGCCCCCTCAGCGTCCCTTGCGTATGCTTCTTTGTTGGCACGTGCGTCTCACTCAGCAACAGTGAGGTGGACTAGCCGACCCAGGAGCAGCTCAGAAGGGACGCGGAGGGGCGAAAGAGGCAGCAAAGGGTGAGTTGGATGAGCGATTCTCTTGTCTGTCTGATGTGAATGAGGAGGGGGAGAGGAGGCGAGGCGTGCCTGGCCAGCATGTGTGGTGTGGTGTGGCGTGCCGTGGCGTGTAAGGAGAGCATCGTAAGGATGAGTGTACAGTTTGCTTGCGTGACTGACTGACGGTGGGTCGGTGGGTCGGCCGCCTCTCACATGCATGCTGGCCGGTGGGTGTGTTTTGGAGCAGCCACAGCGCCCTCCATGCTGTATCTGCGCTGCCTGACTGACCTGCACCCACTCACACACATACATACATGGCTTTAAGGAAGCAAGGAGGGGGCGGACAACAAGAGCGCGAGAGATCTACCTGCCTGGCCATGATGCGACGCGACGCAATGCGATAAGATGCGAAGACAATTTTTGCAGTGCGATGGTGTGGTGTGCTGTGGGTGTCATGTGTGTACTCATGGGATGGATGAATGGATGGATAGATTGGATGGGCGTGATGTGATGTGATGTGTAGGCGGCGACGCGATACCTCATTGATTTTTCCTGCTGCCGTAGCCTTGCCCTAGGTGTCCTGCCGTGCATGCGAAAGGACCCCTCTCGCTGAGTTTACAATCGGTTGGCTGCGAGCCGCAGATCTGAAGTGGATCGACGTACAAAACAGCCGCCCCTGCATCCCTACCACATCCCTCGTATCCTTCGAAGATGCTCCGAGCAGTGGTCTTGTGCGCCCTCGTGGCGGCCGTCTCATGCTTTTCCTTCCAGAACCAGGACGCTGCTTTCGTGGGTCCCAACCCAGCGGCATTGCGTGCACGGTCTGGCCGCAGCGGACTGACAGAACGACGCGCTCTCGAGGGCCTCGCGGCCGCACCGATGCTCGCTCCTGCACTCGCCAATGCTGACACTGGGGTGAGCTGAAGACCTAATGGCCGCAGATGAGATGAGAGGAGGGCGTTTGATGGGCGTGCGTGGTGCTTGTTGTATGTGTGTTCAGATGCTGGATGAGCTTTCAACCCAGCTGAACGCCCTGGAGGTCACCGAGGGTAAGCTGACGAAACAATCTCATCTGTCAGCCCCTGTGGCAGCAAACTAACCTGTGTGGTGATGCAGGCGGCTTCTACGCGACAATTCTGGGCACGCTGCTGCCCATCTTGTTTCTGGTGGTGGTCTACGCGCAGTCAGAGGCCCGCAAGAGCGCAGAGAGAAGGGCCGGCATCGAGGAATGAACCCTCCTGCAGACAGGGAGGATTTTTACCTGTGTGACGTGTGGCCAACCGACCTGCCTGCCTACCTGCCTATCGGCCTATCGCTCGCTTATTCGACACACTAGCATACTGTGTGAGGAGTGGTTGCGACTCCGTGTTTGCTCGTGTGTCGAAATGCCTCCCGGCATCCGTTTGCATTGCGGAGGCTGAGGTGCGTTTCGACCTGGTGGCGCCAACACAGGAGCGAGACCGTGCCCCTGGCACAGAGAAGATGTTCTGTGAGTGGGATTGATGTGGCTGGATGCGTGTGTGTCTGGGTGAGTGAGCTGGTGGGATGCAATGGCGAAGCAGTGCAGTGAGTGCATGTACATTTAACCTATTGATCAGCTGATGGATGGATGGATGCGGGGACGAGATCATGACGATGGTATGGTGTTTATCTGTGGGCTGCCATGATGCGGACGATTGGTTCAGCAGTGAAGTCATGTCCGGCCGTTTCTCAATCGCTCATTGAGTCGATGGATTGGATGATTGTATATACACCCTTACACAGACACACATGCATATAAGCTAATAGGTCGGTCTGGCGTTCGTCCATACACAAAACTTGCACCACAGCATAGACACACTTACGTCCATAGTCCATCCATCCATCCATCCCCACTGTGCCTCTTCCCCGTCTCAGCAGTCGTGACACGGAGGAAGACACACACACACACACTCATAGGTACCTACAGATGTGGTGCTGCCAATGGAGGGTACGTACATACACACATACACAAATATACCCATCTCGCCCTTCCTCCGCCCGCCCGCTGTCTGTGACTTCACACTGCTCATCGCTCTCTCACGTCATAGGCACAAGGCGGGCGGGCCATCGCCTCGCCCACTGCGTCGTGTGCACACAGACCAGTCATCCATTGGTCGTCGTCTCGTGGTTGGTGTGCGGCCCTCTCCCTGCTTGCCGGCCGATCAATCAGTGAGGCCAGCCAGCAGGAAGAGACCCCACACGAACGCACTGACAGACGGCAAAAAATTAATCCCACTCATTGCAAAGCAGACAGACAGGCAGTAGGGAAGCACAGCACAGAGCAGAGCAGGGCAGTGCGTGTAGTATGTACACCAACAGCAACGAAAGCAAAAGCGTCAACATCATCCATCGTACATACATATTCCTTATATATCTCGGTCGGTCTCTCTCGTGGGTGTCTGTGTGGTGTGGGTGGGAGGGTGGCGGTACAATAGAGGCCCGTGAGTCATGTATATGTATGTGCACATACATACGTACACATGGATGGCCACAGTGCCCTTATCGTACATACGGAATCGACCCACTCGCTGTCTGCAAGCGCTTAAGTACTGGTGCGTGCGACAAACAGAGACGAGGCGAGATACATATGATGATGTTACACACACAGACAGACAGCCAGGCAGCCAGGTGTACTGATGATGTGTATATATGTGTGTACGTACGTACGCTGGGGTATACGATGAAAGAAACAGCAGCCACGCAGCGAGACAGACAGAAGACAGACAGACAGACATATGCACAGGAGAGAGAGACACACTAAACGAACGAAAAGGAACGAAAGGAGAGACATACACGGACATCGAGTCAGACACAGCAGGCAATTCCCTCCTCCATGTCATGTATGAGGCGCCCTCTGTCCTGCCGGCCAGCCAGTCAGGCATATGTCGGTGTGTGTGGGTGCAGTATCCCCATTTGACCTCATATTGGGTTTACGAGCTCAGCAAGGCATACTCCACTCGCACACTACCGCACGCCACACCAGGCCAGAAAGGCTCATCTCGGGCCCCAGACACGTAATGAGTGAGTCAGTCAGTTTGAGTGAGCGAGTGAGCGAGCGAGTGAGTGAGTGAGTGCGTGACAATCGTGGTCCATGGGTCGGTCCACTCTCGTCACAGCCAGGCCAGGCAAGTGAGTCAGTCAGTCAGTCAGTCAGTGGGTGGGCCGACACATTCATTTCTACACACGTACATACGCATACGTGTGTACGTATATACGTACACACATACACACGTAAGTATACGTGTGTACGTACATAGATACATGCGTATAGAGATGGAGACGTCTGTCTGTCTGTCTGTCTGTGTATACGTACGTTCGGGGCGGCCGGTCGATCTGTACGTACGAACAACAAAAGGCCGCCGAGAGTGGAAAGGAAGAACTACACAAATACCGTACCGTACACTTATTATCAATCGTTCATCGTGTGGGGCCAAAGGTATGAACACATTATTGCAACATTACATCCACAAAACCCCGCAATGTCAATCCATCCCTCATTCATCAAGCGAGACCGCTACTGCATGCCACGAACATCACCCACCCACTTTGCGTACTTGAAATGAATGATAAAATGGTATGTACGCATGTGTGTATGTGTGTATGTATCTGTGTGTCTATGTACATTAGAAGTCGACAATCATAAAAAGACCCAAAATGCCCCTCTCATCAACAACATCGATTCATCGCTTAGTGGCTAAATGTGGCCCGGCGCGTCCAGTCGTCCAGTAAGAAACACCAGACTGCAAAAAACATTCATTCACCCACCCACCGTCCGCCTGAGGTTTGCCTACCACAAACATCAAGGCAAGGCCGCCCTCTCCACACCAACAGACCAGAGGGGCGTCAAAACCTCGTCTCTCTCTCGCCTCGCCATTTCCCCATCAGCACGCAAAATTCCCCTCTACCATTATCGTCAGATATGTCAGATTTCAAAACCATTCATTCAACCTGCACGAGCCCGCGCCACGTCTTCCCCGAACACAGGCCCAAAATTACGTCCCCTCCTCCCCACTCTGCTGCTGCTGCTGCAGTTGCTCGTCCTCGTCACTGCTTTCCTCTTCCAAGCAGTCGCCCGGCCGCTGGCCAGACGGCGGCGTGGGAAACGACGACGTCGCACGGTCACTCGGCGTGAGGGGGGGCGAGGGCGGCACGCTCACGGGGCGAGGCGCAGACGATGGTCCCCTTGGATGAAGCGGCCCCGGGCGCTGCCCGCGGCCTGGCGACCAGCTTGTCGACGTCGCCGACCGGCTGAAGGGCGGCTGCGTGGCGAAGTATGACCACTCGAAGCTGGGCGTGGCCGTGCCGGTGCTGGCCTGGGAGGGTCCCTGCATCATGCCCTCCGGCAGTGAGGGGCCGCCTAGTGGTCCCATCGCCCCCTCCTCCGTCCTTGTCGACGGGCCTGTGAGCAGCGACGCGAGTGTGGCCAGCGACTTGGGGATGGACGCGAACGGGAAGCCCACACCGAGGGGATGTGCGTGGGGCGGCGGGGGCGGCTGGGTTGGCGTGGTGAGGGGAGGGACGGGGGCGGGTGTGGGGGGCCCGGGCTGGGCTGCGAATGAGTATGATGGCGGAGGGCCTGGTGGTGGTGCTGGTTGTTCGAGGGGGGCGGACGGGCGCTGGGGTGAGGGGGTGGCTGCCTGGGAGGGAGGTGACGTGAACGCACCGATGTGCGTGCGGACGCTCTCCAAAAACTCCAAGGCCCTGCATGGACACACAAAGATATATGTCGGCATGCTGCCTGGTTTGTGGTGCGCGTGTGTACCTGAGGCTTGCGTCTTCCTTCGCCTGCATTTTGTTGGGTTGCCAGTCGCCCTCGATAGGCGACACGCCAGGGAGGGGCGGGAACTCCACCACCGCCCGGAACAAAGGATGTTTCTCGTCGTCGTTGCTCAGGATCTGCCAACGCATCGGCTGCTGCTTCTTCCTCACCCTGCAATAACACGCGCCACACGCGATATCACGCCTCCAC